GAAGAAGAAATCGATTACTATGGTCTTCAGCTCGACATTCAGATATATTGACGACGTTTTGTCAATAAACAGTTCAGTAACTTCTATTAATATTAGGAATGTCAAAGAATTTTCATTCGATGCGTTGATGTTCTAGTAGGAATTTATGATTTAATGTTCAGTTTTCTTTATTTAAAAAAAAAATAACTCTAGAAATTTATATATGAAAAATATTAAAATTATAAAGTTCAATTTTCGATCCATCTATTAATTTTAAATTGGAAGTCTCAGAAGTAATGCCTTCAAAATAAAATGTTTAACGAAATTTCATCAGTGCATTTTTAATGTATCTCATTCAAAATCACAATCAGGTAATTGGTAAAGAAATTGCATATCAAGATGTTTGGGTTTTGTTTTACTTTCAATACTCTATAATAATTGAATTAACTTTCTGTGGCATATGATTGTTAATCTTAAACGTAAAACATTTGTAGGCATATTTGTTTGTCATCGGTCATTTTTTGATTTATTTTTGAAATTATGTTCTGACTGTATACTCTTAAAGTCACTGTATTTCTTAGTAAAAATAATGACAATATTACCTAAAAATAAACCAAAGCAGAGTACTGACAAAGTTGATGTTAAAGGGACCTCAACGAAATCATTTAACGTCATTATTTTCGTAAATTCCATTGTACATGTAGTTATAATGACTTTGTAAGCAAATACAAATGCAACCTATCACTGGCAATTTTGATTGACATATTTAATACAAATTACATAAGCATTTAACTTGGTTTTCTTTGAATTTTACTATTATCCGTCTATTTGATCAAAACATGAGGCCCCTGGTGGGTGTGATGTTCGCATTTTGAGATTTTTCTTGATATTCAAGTATGATTAATAAATTTGCGGTTTTCAATTGCTCCCCATTTTTGCACAAAATAGTGTGATAGACATATATACCGTATACGAGGGCTGTTCGGAAATTATTGAGACATTTACTTTTACTCCATAGAGGACAGAGATAAATTCAGGAAAATTCTTCATCCTTTAACGAAGGACAAATTAAACAGCTATGCAAAATTTCTAATTTTTAGGATAATTAGATAATTTCTGGTGAAATCATGAACATGCATATATCTATCGACCTGGAGCAGCATCAGTACGTCATTTTAACGTAGCCGTGCATGTTTTCGCATGTGAACGATCGGGAAGCATTTACTCTCCTTCCTTTGTTATTATACATACCATACCAAAATCAAACTGTCTATATTTATAAACCTTTCTTTTACTAAAATTGTCTGTTGCTACACTTGTTTAAATTTTTCATGCGTCATATATACAGAATGATGCAGTATCATGCTGTGTCGATTTATGCAGGGAGGGTCAACGTTTTTAATTCCGTAGCGGTAAAAATTCATGGTCGTCCGGAGCGTTTGATTATACTTTGGTTGAATTATAGGTAACAAATAAAGGTACATACATGTACATAAATTACTAAATAACAAACCCTTCGACGTGTTTTCCTGTTGTTTAGCTGGTTGTTCAGTCTGGAAAAGGGTTTTACATAGCGCTACACAAAGTTTTAGGTCTCTCGCTGCTCCGCCTTAACGGCAAAATCCATTTTTTCCTCGTAATCAGATTCCTATACCGCGCATAATTTTTTAATGATCTCCATATTCCTGATCAGAATTCCAACAAACTTGCTCATAATGAAGTCAAAATAAAATTGTAAAATAAGATACATAAATTTAATTATTTTCGCTCTTAGTATGGGTCCACCATGGGGTTGAACGTTGTTGATATATATTTTCAATATCTGATTTCGTGACTGCTCCGGGTACCTCTACCATTGACACATTTTTATACCACTGAAGACAAGAAGTTTAATATTTGTAAATTATGTCTTGCTTTTATGAATTATTAATGTTTGTCAAACGTATATACAAATTGTCATCGAAAGACGTTCATTAGAAAGAAAAATATACACAATGTCTCAATAATTTCCGAACAGCCCTCGTATACTCGCCTATAAGTCGAGTTTTTGGGAGTTAAACTTTGGTCGAAAAATCTGTGTCCGAGTTGTAAAAAATATTGGTATTTTAGAACGCCAATCCCTCCAATATAGGCTTTAAAAATACAACTGACTTCTTTGCAAGTATATATATGGTATATAAGTTACTTTATTTTTTTTCAGAAATATTTTCGAATTGAGTGTTATTCTTCATTTAGTATATTCTACACGTCTTGTTAGCTGTTCGCATGTTTCTACCGGATTTCTTATATTACATACCGACATTTTATGAATTGCTTTATAATGAAATTCATATTTCAAGATATAAGATTTTGTACATGTACTATGTGTGTTTGTTAAGTTTTCCTCCATAAACGATTAGCATATCCATATGTTTTTAAGCAGTACTATAAAAATCAAAACGCATAAGTAAGTTTTTCTTACAAGATTTTTACAAGAAATGTAGACACGTACGTTCTACTTGTCTGATGCCAATGAACAATCCTGATTCAAACCCAAATATAAATTCTTCGGTGCAAAAACAGAATAACGAACCTTACTCAAAACATGCGTACAAGACAAAGGATATGTACGCTAACAAATATAATGCTGAATTCCCTATAAAGGTCTGTTTAACTTAGTTTATAACATACTTAATTGCATGAAGATTGTCATACAAAGAAAAAAGTGAGCATCTAACTAATACAAACCAATTATGAATATCAAATCTTAAAATAGAACTGTTAAATTCATCATATTTTTTAGCAATATTTACATAATTTGCAATTAATAAGTTCACAAAAGTAAGAAAAAATTGTGCTGTATTTATCCTCGTTGCCTAGTTTTAAAAAGTTCACAAGTTAACTAGGCTCCAAAAAAGTTATAATATTCAGAAAAAAGGTCAACAAAACAATTAGACGTTGGTCGACATTTCCATACAGTAAGAAATTTAACCGTAACAAATTGCATGTTTCACAAAAATATGTGCATGTTTTGTGATAAATATTCACACTAACAAACATTTTGATCATTGCTACATTATATTTTAATTAACAATCCCCTCAAATTTTTGCCACAAAGTCATCACCAATGTTTGTGAAAATGTTAATATGCATCGTTAATATATGAATAGTACATGTATTAGTAAACGGATTTATATTTTTTTCTTAGAAAGGTTAATATAGTTTTATTCTTAACTAAATTTTAATTATAAATCTTATTTTGCGTTTACATTTTAAAATAAATATTACTTTCGTTAAATTTGAGTTTGCTACGGAAACGATTTTTAAAAAAGAATTATGATTTTTTGTAAAGGACACTATTTATTATTTCCAAATGGATCAGCAAACATTTATGATTTATTTAGATATTAATGTAAAAACAAAAGAAAATAGTTTTAAGAAAAGATCAGGACATCCAACAACTAAAATACCAACACTGTTTACCTTTGAAAAACCTAGAGAAAATTTAGTTCTTTAAAAAAAAGTTGTGAGCATTTCAGATGTGTATTTTTATATATACAACTGAATAATCTTTCCCTCGGCAATGCGACCTATAAACTACTTCAAAGGATTTCAGGACTTGTACATAAAAGTTGTTCAGATTTGATGGAAAGCGTGAAAAAAAAAACAGAAGTGAAACGATTACAGCAGACTACAGTAAGCTTGAAGGCCAACTTTGTTAGAGGCATTCATATCAGTTCATTTAGTAGAAAGAAACACAAAACAAAGGATATTTATATGTTTATTGGGATATCACACGTTTCTATTATGTAAAAAAAATGAGATTAATGTGTTTATAATGTGTAACATTAAAGATAATGTACGTTACGAAAATATGTTAAAGGAATGAAGTTTGTGTTAACTTAAGTTATACGATATAATATAACTTGGGTCAGTTTACACTTTATAAACTGCGTTTTTTTTTTTTTTTAAAGTGTGTTAACTGCCCAAAGTTATGTTACATAAAATAAGCTTTATTCATTATAATTTAATTCAGTGTGTTAACAGTGTTTCCCCAAAAAGTTATGTTAATATAACATATTTTAATTAAAAGTAACTTCAAACGGAGTAATACGTTTTTGACGTAGCTCCTTGTGACGCAGGCGGCATATGTTATACGATATAAACAAACATTTTTAACCATCAAATTCAAGTAAAAGCTAAAATTATTCAGCTTTAAACAATGCATTTTTTAAAATGATTATTCAATGTCAACTTCAAAAAATTCTTATAAGCAATATACGATAAATTAAAACAAGTTGTTATCCATCAAATTACAAGAAGAAACTAAAATTAAATTATTCAGCTTTAAACAATGCATTTTTTAGAAATACAATTTAACATTGAGAAAACTTAAACATTTTCCATTTTTCTACACAATCAAATATTTCCTGATCATGTCAAGGAGCAACGTGGTTGAGACCGGTTGGCAAATTACTCCTCCATAGCAAAAAAACATGTTTTTTTTTTTATTGTTTAATGGACGTTTGATCTTGAATACTGTTCGTTATCTCCATATGTTGCATCTATCAAAATCAGTCATGAAACGTTTCGAAGTTATGAAAAAATAACTTTAAAGTTCCTTAAATAATTTTCCTTCGTCACCGGACTTCCTATGTTGACATACTTGTGTAATTCATGATCAGCAGATTGTAAGCATATCTCGATTGCTCTTTTTTACTCCGATAATGCTTTGTCACTTGAAGTATAAGTCTCTCTGATATCTCAAATGTCGAGACGTTTATATACTTATACATAAGTTTCCGGAACACAACGGAAACGACCCATTCACGTATAGTTCCATAGTAGGTATATTCTATAAAATGAAGTTAAAATGTCTAATTTATAACATTGTACATCATGTCATTCTTCTTCAAATATGGAATAAAAATTAAAATGTCCGGGTTTTGGATAAAAATATTACATTCATAGGAAGTCAAAACTCCAAACTATTTACAGATACACCCTAAAATAAATGTGAATACCATGTCCTTTCCTCAAAATATTGTTTTTATGAGTAACTTCCTGACCCGTTTTAGTACAGGTCTGTAGTAATTATACACATTGGACATGATTATGTTTCTTCTAGCCTGTTATGCCATTTTCCTAACAACAAGTAAGTGTTCATCATTAACTCTACAAGATGCGAGTGTACTTTCATATAGTATACGTTTAAAGCGCATATACAATTGATAAAGTTCTTCTCGTTGTATTTCATTCTATCTGAATGTTTAATAATAGTATGAGGAGGGTACGATGTTTGACGCGTAGTACTTATCGCTATAGTTTTTGGTTCTGATGTGAGCGTCCAGGAGAGAAATGACTGGTACACTGCAAACCACACCTGTACTGAGAACTTGTCAGGTAGACTTCTCTCCGGGTTAGACGTGACTATGGACCCAGCATTGAGGGACATCACCACACCTAACTCAACATATTACTGGTCCAATAAAATGGCCACCATTACGGATTTCATACAGTATGAAGGTAATTTTTATTAAAAGCATATCGGAGTATCGTGAAAGTGAAATATATCAGATTTATATACATTGTAGTACAAATAAAGTAGCTCTCGAAATACAGTTTATATTATATAAGAGCTAACAAAATAAATAGCACACGTTTATTCTACAATTTTAAAACGACGTTCATTATACAGACAAATATATAAATATAAGTTAAACACTTATGACTATAAAAGCCTAATTAAATTGCACTTGACAGCATTTAAGCTTTTTCAACAATGTTCACTTTTTATTAAGATCATTTGACATATCATTGTCTTTTACAACTTTCATTATATCTAATACTTAACCAGACTTTGTTTTCCAAAAAACTTCGAATTTTGGAAAATTATGACACAACCAGGAACGAAATAATGTTCTTTTTGTAGGTTGTTTTAATTCTTCCGAGCTTCATGCACAAAAACAGCTGGTACCATCATCTCTAAATCCAATCCCATCCTGCTTTGAATATTGTAACAAAATGAATATATCTCGGATAGGAGTAACGGTCGGTTGTATAGATACAGAAATGTTATTAATATCATCTAAAATAATATTGAAAATCTGATTATGTGTTTAAAATATATTATTAATATCATGACATTAAAAAGTTTTGAAATAATATTGTTAAATAAAATCTGATTATGTGTTTAAAATATATCAAATATCAATTTCGTTAATTTTTTGACATTTTGTGCAAAATTCAATAACAAATCACATAAAATCTTTGTCCAAATGAAGGAAAATTCCATTGAAAATTGGTGTCTTCTGCAACTTTTTCGGGAAAATGCACATGATTATGAGAAAATTTTTGAAAAATGACTTGTAATTTTTCTGCATTGAATTTCAATTATTTAAAAAGCATGATTTTTCAACTTTTACACCACTTTCATTTTTTAGAAAATCACAGGGCAAAATTTGTATGGAAACTATACCTTCTTCTTTCAATTCTTATCAAAATCCAAATACTATGAATTTCACGAAAGAAAATTTTGTTTGAATTTTGAAGACTTTGAATTTATATTGTCAAATTGTAGACAAAAGACATGATGAATGTTTATTGTATATGCGTGGGAGATGAGAAACTTAATCAAGAGAACATCAGCAATTGCTACATTCCTTGTTCAAGTGATTTCATGAATACTTGTGGCAGTGAGGACGTAATATCAGTGTGTACGTATGGAACAATATCTACTTTACAGAATGACTGACACATTCGTTAACATTTCAAATTACTATGAATTTTTTTTTTAAAAAAAAATGTGTCTGAAGTTTAAGAACATTCTGAATTTTATCCTTATAAAGATATAATTATAAGATCTTTCTTTAACTATTTCATACAGTCTTAGCAAGACTTTTAGACGCAATGATAGAGAAATGAGGTTCTAAGTATTTTTCATCTTGTCTTTTTAGCGCCATTTTCTAATGTCACTCATTTTAACTATTAAAGGTAGATTGTATTTTAAAATGAAGATATTAACAAAGCTCATTATCTCTTTTACAATAAAATAAAAGATTTTAGACAACACTTTGATGCACAAAATCCCACAGAAATGTCAGATTGTGTTGCTATTACATCGAATGACAATGGTTTTTCATTGAGTATTGATGATTGCATGAAAACCAACGATGGATACATTTGCAAAATTTGTAAGTAACAATCATTATACATGTACGATCTGTTGTTAAAAAAAATCATACCCTTCATATGAATATTGTTTAGATAACAATCTTCATTGGAATAAAACAATCTTCATTGTAATTAAAACAATTACAATAATAATTTCAACACAAAACACACACGACTTTTAAAGGTGAAGAGGACAAATGCTCTGCAAAGATTTTCATGGAAAAATTAACATGGCAGGACGCACAGAAAGCATGTGAAAGGCAAGGTGGATACCTGGGTAATATAGGAACCTCGCGGAATAAAACAATTTGGACTGGTTATAAAAGGTGGATGCTGGAAGAAGAATGTAAGGAGTTTTTTAAAGTAATAATGATATTTATATTTAATTATTCTTGAATCCAATTAAATTCTATGTGAACCATAAATAAGTTCAGGAGTTCCTGTTTATTATCCTCTTCAAAAATATGGTTCTACAAAATCAAATATACATTCATAAAAGAAATACAATCACTGAAATCAGACCAAAACTACATGGGGAGTAGCATTTTAAAAGTACTGTAAATCACTTTTTATTCGCGAGAACTTTATTTTCGCGTAATTACGCGAGATAGTGTGCTCGCGAAAATTTAATTCTCGCGTACAATAGTATTCCTTAAGATTATATAGAGCAATAACCACAATTCGTGAAAATTTTGTCTCGCTAATCAAGAGTCAATGACTATCTCGCGAAAATAAGGTGTCGCGAAAATTATGTGATCTACAGTATTTCACTGAAATGTCTATTTTCGTAACCACGGCAACACCGTTCAACGTAGTCCGAAAAATCTGACGTTTTCCTGGCTTTTTTACGATTTTGATATTTTACATGCCAGGAAAACGTTGCGCCATTACGAAAACTGGAAATTTTGCCGTCTTCAACTGGAGTTGATTTTCGATACTTGTGAACCGACCTAAATGCCGAAATCAGAATTTATCAAAAGCACAATGCCTCTAGTACTCACCAATATCAAGACAATATCACTCTACATTTCGTAACAGGACATGCAAGATTTTAAAATGTACGAAATGAAGACAAATCTCGACAGTGTGACAAAACCTTTTTCAACGGATTATTTATTTCATAAATGAACCATAAAAGCTATTTTGGTAAGTTCTTTACGTATTGTACTATTGATAACTTTTGACTTTGAAATTTAATTCAGTTCGCAAGTATCTAAAATCTACCAGAGAATGCCGCCTCCAGTTGGAGGCGGCGATTTCCCAGTTTTCTTAATGGCGCCGGTGTCATATAGTGAGACTTCCGCCATAGTGAGACTTCCCCCCGGAAGTCTGGCTATATAGTGTGTCTTCCCCCTGGGGGGAAATCTGACTATATAGTGAGACTTCCCCCCATAATGACCATAGTGAGTCTTCCCCCTTCGGTTTTCGGTTTGGATTTTATACACATTGACATAATTAAATATTTATTGTATGCTTTAGGGACCTTTTAACATTTATAAAGGATGATCGACTGCACTTAAGGAAACTTAGAAATTGCTACATAATCAAGAAGAAGGTATAGTTTTAGCTTTATTGTGCCCTAAAAATGTAATGACATCAAAAAGTTTTGAAACTGGCTTAAATATTTAGTTAAATAAATGACTTTGATAAATCAGGAAAGCATATGGCATGAAGGTTTACCATTCTGCAAATATGACGTCATTAATTTGAAGCATTTCTCTATTTCAACAGAAAAAGCCTCAAAATGGCACATTTCAAGGGTGATTTTCCCATAGAAAACAGTGTCCACAGCCGTCGCCCACGTTAATTTTTTGATATTTTGTGCAAAATTCAATAGCAAATCACATATCTCAAGATCTTTGTGGGCGATGCCTGTGGACAATGTTGTCTGAAAGAAAATTCCATTGAAAATTGGTGTCTTCTGAATTTTTTAAAAAATACGGTAAAATGCACATGTTTATGACGTCATAATTAGCATTTAAAAGCACATGTGAGAAAAATGACTTGTTTGATTTTACTGCATTGAATTTCAATTATTTAAAAAGCATGAGTTTTCAACTTTTACACCAGTTTCATTTTTTAGAAAATCATAGGGCAAAATTTGTATGGAAACCATACCTTCTTCTTTTAAAAAACGGGCATTTTTCTTTTTATGGTAGAAATGGTAAATGTCTTAACTGCAACTTTGTGTAATTACGTTAATTAAAAGTTCGTATTAACAAAGTTCGAAGTCGTTTTTATAGGGAGGGGTCATCGCATATTCTGGAATCTCCATAAGATAATGAGTACGCCCACCCTTTTCCAGGCTTAATGCATAGTCAGCGCATGTTTGTCTATTGTTCTCCTTTTTATGGTAGTTGTATATTTACATATATTACTTCATATTAAAAGGAGATCAATAGACAAACATGCGCTCATGGTTAAAAAGAGAAAAAAACTGTTCTCGTGTGTTCACTTTCTCTGTAGTAAACAGGCCATTTTGACCACGTTGTTACCTGTTGAATATTATATTTAACCACGTGATTTCTATACCCAGGTAACTCTGTGAATACTAAAATTCCATCACGTGACGTGTAATGAAACACACATTCTGCTGGGCGATAGTGATTGTCCATATCTGTTTCAATCCATTCCCATCGAGCACGGGCTATTCTTTTTTCTCTTAGATATCTATAAGATTATTCTTATATTTATCTCAAAAGCATTTCATTTTACTATCTTTATATTTTTTTGAGTGCATTATATGTCTCTACATGTTCCTTGTCTTCATGAAGAAAGAGATTTATTTACATTTTTTGAACCATTGTTTAACATGAACATCCAAAGTAAGATCCAGTAAATAAAATTGACGTCATACCATCCCCAGCACGCTAATTTATAGGGAAAAGTAATTATAAAAGAAACAAAAAAAATTTTTAAAAGTAATTGTGATGTTTTTCTTTCTTCTTTATAAAAGGGAAAAATAAATACTGCTGTTAGCGGGTCTTGACCCCGGACCTGAATATTATTGATTCTGTGCATTACCGACTGAGCTAATCGGCACTTATATTCGAACACGCGAATTGTTGACATCAGCCATTGATTTTGATTATCAATGAGAATGGCTACCTCTACCGGTCGATGTTATTTGTTATTAGTTATATACTTTATTTGAAAACTTAAAAGATAAAACTGACAAACATATGACGAGAGAGAGAGAGAGAGAATGCACTAAATATAAATACAGTAACTATTCTAATTTTAGACCACTCATAACAATATTAGCTCCACCTCTTATGCATATTTATAAATCTTATCTTCAATCAAGGGCAGATAAGTCTAATTCCCCGATATTTGCAGTGAGGTGGGGTAAGGAAACACCGAATTATTTTATTGCAACGCAGTTAAGAACCTATATGACACTGCATTTCATTTGGAAATAGACTAAACTCTATAGCAAATGACTTAAAGCAAAAATAAAAACAAAAATAAATGTGACAACAGAGATTGAAAAAGACCCAAAAACCGGCGTTAAGTGCAGTCATCCTTTATGAAGTATTTTTAGGATTTGTATTTCATTTTGAAATTAAATTTGCGTGATATATTAATTAAATTACATCACTATAAAATCAAATAAGATGGATTTGAGTTCTAATACACTTTAAATCAAATTTTGACTGTCATGCATGCACCGGATGCATGGATTGAGCTTAACCCCCTCCTTTTTTTTTTATTTATGACCGGAAAAATTGCATGAAAATGTGTGCATCCCCTGCTCATCACACTCATACATCAAATCATACAATTATTTTTTTCATTTTGGTCGTGTTTTAAAAATTATTTATTTAAAGATATTTTATTAAACTGGGTTTGGACGATTGGATGTTTGAATATATACACGTATAAAAAATACGTAAAATTAAAAAAATATATACTGCATTGCATTTGTCACTTATTTGACTAAACTATTTTGCACTAAAGTCGGAGATGGCTAATTGTCAATTTTAGTGTGTAGATCTGTTTTGTCGCAATTTCATTTTTACACTTTATACGTTGAAACACAGAGCGTGCATGTATGCATCAGTCATTACTTGATTGAGATAAGATGTTTGAATATACAGTTAAAACGATATTCAAACTGTTCATGCATATAAAATAAATATATACGTACATGTATGTATATGGAAGATAATTTCGTCATAAATTAACACTGTTAGAATTTTTTTTAAATAATACTGTAAAATAATGTTCCGGAAACTATAATAAGAGGGGGGAAGTCTCGCTATGAATGGGGGAAGGCTGGCTATAAAGTGAGCCTTCCCCCCGGAAGAATGGCTATATAGTGAGACTTCCCCCACTATATAACCAGCCTTCCGGGGGAAGACTCACTATATAGTGAGCCTTCCGGGGGAAGCCTCACTATGGGGGAAGTCTCACTATACGACACCCGGTTCTGACGTTTTCCTGGCATGTAAAATATCAAAATCGTAAAAAAAAAAAAGACCAGGAAAACGTCAGATTTTTCGGACTACGTTCAACGAAATCAAAAACCGATACACAGAATTATGTATCTTAGTTGTAGTCTACTTGTGTGCCATATACCGGGGGTATATTGAAATCAGACCAAAACTGTAGGAGGAGTAGCATTTTGAAGATATATACTAAATTTATATATTTCTGATGTTTTTAGAAGCTCGTGTTTCTTTAGCTCACAATTTGTACTGTTTTATTGATCAAAATATGTTACTATTCGTTCCTCAGTTCTTCAGATCTTATTACATTAAAATTTATTTATATAGATTTGACATTGAATTGAACACAGTCATCTTGTTACATTTTAACGGAGACGTGTATTTGAGTTCTCGGTTTTAATTTATACATTTGTCTCAATGTTTCATCTTAATTTACATATTGTCAAAGAAAAACGCCTTTTATTTTCCCACTCAATACAAATAAATATGATATAATGAAAGATTTTTTTCATGAATACACCTAACAAGATATTACCAAACAAACTTTGATAACAATTTTGTCCATTGGTGTGTTACAAAACTATTTTAAGACGTAGTGCAGATATTATGTTGAATCTTATATTAAGGTGCAGATATAATGTTTAAAGTTTAATAATTCATTCCAGATTCAGTTTTTCCAAGATTGTGCCTCTTGTGTACATACAAAAATGGAACTGCAAATTGTATCTACGGCAACTGTTCGGATCAACATGAATCATTATGTGTGACTGGTAAATATCTAAAGTATCCATAAGGTGATTTTTATCATTAAAGATCTGTTATTTTTATTAATACCTTGAAGAATTCCTTGTATTCTTACTTCTTCGTAACAAACTCCGTTCCATCTATTCATGTTTTAAAACTTTTTTCCAATTCTTCTAAGAATCTGAACAGCTACTAGGAGTTGATTGGTTCGATGCAGAGAGGAATTGTGAAACTAACAGTTCCAGACTATTGACAGAGAGGGAATTTTCAGAAAAGGTCCTTACAGATGATATGTTTACTTCACATTCGTTCTGGATATATGGCGTTGCAGCATACACACCTTGGGCTAGAAACATAGGTATCGCATTATTTGTTACGATAAAAATAAATCTTCATACGTGTAGCTTTTTTAAAATTCATGTATTAACACTGATTATGAACATAAAATACGATATGATAATTGACGCATAATTAATGCATTATTTCTAGTCTTCTCATTTTGTCGCATGCATATGTACTTATTTGTCGAAAAACGATAAACAGTTAGCACATTATTTCTCCCCTAATAATTCAAGGTTGAGTGATGTTCAAATGAACATTCTTCTGCAAGAACTGCAATAAGTTTGGACGTATCTTTTACATCCGAATTTTGCCTCTCGGTTCTAATTCCTGATTGCTTTGATAGGTTGTTGTGACATCTCAAATATATCATACATATCGTCATTCAGCAGTAAGCAAAATTCGGTTCTGCAATGCATGGAATTCTGTAAAGACACTCCCTATCTTGGACTAACTGTGAGTATAATCCAATAGTACAATGCGTTTGGTTGGACATCGAGCGCATCAAAAATCTGATTTTCTTATTTTGAATGAATATACCTTAAGATTGTCAATGAAAAAAGACGGTCCAATCATGTTTGTAAAAATTGCGAAAAATTACAAACTTCGTTTATTTTTTTTTCAGAAAGAAAATACAACAATTGACAAATGTTTTTGTATAGAAAATATTGATACACTGTCCTCGTCTTTCACGAACTCCAGTGATTGTGGAATGAATTGTCATGGAGAATACACAGACTTATGTGGAGGGCACGATCGCTTGATTGTGTATGAAATAGGTACAAGTAAATAGTTCCCATCGGAAAACATTCTTCAAGACAAGAATTGAATTTTGTTTTAAAAATAATCTTTTCTATGCATATATGATTACCAATTGAAATTATTCCTGAAGTTAATAACTTTAAATGCTTCTTCTTTTTTTTACTTTAAAGCAATATGAGCTGCATTTTTGAGAATTTTATTTTACTGGTAAAATGTGCTATTGTGATTAATTTGTATGTCATTTAAACCCTTATGACCAATAAGCCCAAAATAAAATTTAGAAATGTTACAGAGGAAATTTTCCTGTACAACCGAATATACAGTATCATATGAGAAATCATATTGTACAGGACGACAATAATTCAATTTTGCTTCAAAGCTAATAAAAAAAATTCTATCACAAATATGAACAACAGAAGTTTATAAATGTTTTATTTTTTTTTTCATTAAAATAGTTATAGTTACAAATTTCCAAAAAAAAAAAAAAAAAAATCCGATTTCAAACATGCAGCTCATATATATTATTGCTTTAAACAATCCTGAAATCGAATTTTTTAAATTCAAAATTAGAAATATTGATTTTATATTATTGTAATTTTTAACTGTAATTCATTACTTAATATCGTTTTACCAGATAGAAATAGTGTAGCTGACGGGATGTATAAAACATCGGTGGAATGTATGTGCCTGATAAAGCATCAAGACTATATGAGCATGCACTCCGGTGATTGTCTTATGGAGGCTACCGGTTATATATGTGAAACATGTGAGTTACTATGATAAAGCTGAAGTTCTGTTACATAGAAAACAATGCGTTGCTAAATATCTTGATTTATTATTACTATACATACTGAAATCTGCTTGGATCATAATCGAAGAGAAATCCATTTTAATGCTGTATTTGCTATACTTTTGAATGCATTAGGCTCACTTTTCTTTTTCGTAAATACAAGATTTAAAAGCTTGAAAATGACCATGTTAAAATGTCTTTTTTCAAGTAACTGGGATACGATCTATGTTATCTGCATCTAGGGACCATTATCATTTTGGTTTTATTTGCTGCTTCTACCAAAATAGGTGAAACTGGTAAGGAGAATTGCACACAAGATGCTTACCTTGGTATGTTGGATTGGTATGAAGCTGCTGAGGAATGCCGGGAAAAGGGCGGGAATCTTGGAAACATGAAGTTTTCAGATTATAGTAGTCTTTCAGAGGGTGCTTACTGGTATGGAAACAGACGATGGCTGAAAGAAGCGGATCCACAGAGTATATATTAATTTCACATTTAAACGCGCATATCTTGAATTAAACCAAGGCATTAAATTGTTTTGTTGTTGAAAATCTATGAAATATGTTTATGTTCTTAATTTTCACTAACAGGAGCAAAAAAGTCTGACACAGAAGGTTGCTTAAGCTGCAGAGCTAAAAATGGCAGTCCAGACTGCGTGTACAGTCAATGCAGTGAAAATTTACATGCACTATGCGCAGAAGGTAAACATTTATATTAAAAAAAGTATATTTGTGGGTTAAAAATATGGACTTTTTTTGCATTTTTGATTTGCAGACAAGACTGTTTAACACAAAGACTTTGAATGGCGTTTGTGTCATGGCATTATTTTAAATGATAAACCAATAAGTTTCAGGTGTTGTAGCCCATCTGCCGATTTCACTACCCGGTACAATCTTCTAAATATCATTTCAGTAAATTCAACAGAAGCTACCACTCATGAAAAGTCAACAGTCCATAACCATAAATTAATGACAACGATAAAATATGACACTGAATCTACCGGAGGTGTGAGTTTGATAATTTTTCCGACACTGGGTTCAGATAAACAGGACCAAGGGAAGGCTGAATTCCAAACCGAGCATGACGATCTCAACGCCAACGTTATCGCCGTGGTTGTGGCCTTGTTGGTAATATGTGGTGTGGTGGTCATGTTGATCATTACAAAATTGTGAGTTGTCTTTTTAATTCATTCGAACATTTTTTCGCACCTTGGGGTGCAGGATTTGGCGGAAAAACCTGACTCAAGTGTTTTTCCTTTTTTCAAGTCTCATACCTCACTGTATTTCATTGGAATTAATTAATAAACAAATTAATTTTAAAAATATAGAACTGTTACAATAATTATTGCTCTGTTATTGTTTTTTCTGCTAAATACTCATTAATATTGACGCAGTTGGCATAATAAACTTCACTATACACTTTATTTCACACGTGCTGTGTGGTCTTGGCGTAGTAAACAGAGAAATAACAATTTCATTTTAGACGGAAGAATGAAAAAGTGACATCAGATGTTACAGACCTAATAGATACGAAAAATGGGCCAACCAAATTCTCCTTTCTAAAGGAAAACGACAGTAGACCATCATCATTTAGTCACGTGACAGTTGAAAGGCAGAGGAGTTTCTCTAATCCCAGCTTTATGGATCATGATGTGGACATTTTAGCCAAAAGTTTAGACAATGAACCAAACCATCAAGATGTTGATCAAACTAATTAGTGAAAAATTATGCTCTCTCTCTCTCTCTCTCTCTCTCTCTCAAACAAAAATGAACAAAATTTTGAAAGAGGATTCATACAAGATAATCATACTGTCTTGACAAATACTTAATATAGACTGCCATTATGATTTTTTTTTCATTTATTGGTTATTAATGTAGAAGATAATTCTTTATTGCATAACATACATGTGTAAATTCAAATAGGGAAACAATTGCAAAATTATTAAATATTTTGTTGATCTATTTACCATCAAGTTTCTGTATTAAACATAAGCACCATGCACTGCAGTACGTGGAATTAGCAATAGATGGTATATTGCAATTACTCTTTAATGTTACTTTTAAAGTATGCTTGTCTTGTTACATAATATGCGGATGATATGTGAAGGAATTAGCACATTATGTAACAAAAATAAAGATTTTTTTTATTATTCTTGGAGTTGCGTAAAACACTAATTCTGAATGAGGAAATGACCATTAATGTTATAATTAGATGTTCATTTTGTAATCATTTAGCAACACGTGACAGATATGAACCGCTACGCCAATTCAAGGTCAATAGTTTAAAAAATAATAAATTTGAACATTCTCTGTGACTTCTGTATCTTAACTTTTCTAAATCAAATTAATTTTGTCAATTGTTATTATAAAATAGAATTATTATACAATGCAAAAATTAATGTGAATTTTATTAAGAATCTTGCTAGATTCTGGCGGCCTTGAATTAAAAATATAATCCCGGAATAATCATTATATCATGGTGATGCATGGTTTTTCGTTACGTAATTGGCATTAAAAAAATAATTAATTTATACAACAGCTTTTCAAAGTGCAACTGTTTATCTAAATTTGACCTCGGATCTGTATGTATAATTAAATAGCATATCTAGGTTTTATAAATCAATAAAATTCTCCCACACAAGGTCTTTCTGTTGAGAATCTTGAACCACTTGATAGACATAAGGAAGTCGTATATAATGTTGGGAATAGTGTATTCATTTGTCCGACTTTTCTCTTGTTATGTGTTCTGGAAACCTAGGTCTGCTACGGCAAGCATCAGTCATTTAATTTATGAAACTCTACCTTTGTAAGCTTGTAAAAAATGGTTTGGGAAGGGTTTCCTGTAAATAAAAACAATTAACAGATGGACTTTGCATCTCTTTGAGGATGCACAAGTTTTATAAACAAAAGATTCATTGTCGATGTATTGAATTTGATGCGAAGTGGACGTAACCTTTATTGCAGGAAGATAAAAAATATGAAGCTGAGGTCAGATTGATCTTGTTTCTAAAATTTTTATTCTGATGTATTTTAAAGATGCAAGCTTAATTTAGCACAAACGCTAAATTAAAATAATAATAATAACTGGAGAAAAACCCCTAATTAATTGCAGGGAAATTATCTTGATAAGAATTTCCGGTTAATCTGCACGTTGCTGCATGAATGCAACGAATTAAGGACATGATTAAACGTAACGTTATTAGCAGACCTATTTTTGTATTCATATAAATCAGGATTTATTCAAAGTCTCGTACATGAGAAGAGGAAAACACTTGCTGTGGCCTTCAACTCGACATTTTAAATACCTACGTATTGTCAGTTAATATTATAGTTACTTCTATTTGTTTATCCCACTGAGCTTGAAATAAAAGATACCACTGGATTTGACACATTTTTTTCATAACTGGATATTCTACCATAAAAGGCAAGACAAGACTTTAAGGGTAACATATCAACAAATTTAAAACTTTACAATAAAAGTGAATTTTTTTCAATCGTCAACTTCCTCTACCTGTGTAGCAATATACACTTATCACCTGTATTTGAGGTTGATTTGATACTCTAGATCATATCCTAAGTACGTATAATTTTTGAAATGATGTACTTTATTGACAAACAAGTTGATGGAACAAGAATATCAACAGTCTCGTTTAAAGTCATTATTACGCGTGTTCTATGGTTGATACAATGACCCTGTCAGTCAATACAATCTATTATGAAGATGAATGCTGACATTTTTTTTTCATATTAATTATAAGGCCATTATTTACCCATTGAATTGTTTACGGAAACCTAGGTCTGCTACGGCAAGCATCAGTCATTTAATTTATGAAACTCTACCTTTGTAAGCTTGTAAAAAATGGTTTGTGAAGGGTTTTCTGTAAATAAAAACAATTAACAGATGGACTTTGCATCTCTTTGAGGATGCACAAGTTTTATAAACAAAAGATTCATTGTCGATGTATTGAATTTGATGCAAAGTGGACGTAACCTTTATTGCAGGAAGATAAAAATATAAAGCTGAGGTCAGATTGATCTTGTTTCTAAAATTTTTATTCTGATGTATTTTAAAGATATAAACTTAACTTTAGCACAAAAGCTAAATTAAAATGATAATTGGAAAAACCCCTAACTAATTGCAGGGAAATTATCTTGATAAGAATTTCCGGTTAATCTGCACGTTGCTGCATGAATGCAACGAATAAGGACATGGCAATAGGTAACGTTATTAACAGACCTATTTTTGTATTCATATAAATCAGGATTTATTCAAAGTCTCGTACATGAGAAGAGGAAAACACTTGCTGTGGCCTTCAACTCGACATTTTAAATACCTACGTATTGTCAGTTAATATTATAGTTACTTCTATTTGTTTATCCCACTAAGCTTGAAATAAAAGATACCACTGGATTTGACACACCTGTTTCATAATTGGATATTCTACCATAAAAGGCAAGACAAGACTTTAAGGGTAACATATCAACAAATTTAAAACTTTACAATAAAAGTGAATTTTTTTCAATCGTCAACTTCCTCTACCTGTGCAGCAATATACACTTTTCACCTGTATTTGAGGTTGATTTGATACTCTAGATCATATCCTAAGTACGTATAATTTCTGAAATGATGTACTTTATTGACAAACAAGTTGATGTAAAAAGATTATCAACAGTCTCGTTTACAATACAATGACCTTGTCAGTCAATGCAATCCATTATTAAGATGAATGCTGACATTTTTTCATATTAATTATAAAGCCATTATTTACCCACTGAATTGTCAACGGATTTTTCCGGGGTTTGTTTTTCAATTTCAATATTTTAATTCAGTTTATCCTCATATTGTGTAAAACAACAAAGAGAAGATCTAACAAAAATATCAAACAAAATACGTGATGCAAGAGTATACAGTTTACAATAACCTGGAAGGATAATCCATATTAACTATAATTAAAAGATTAAGTATTAGCTCACAAAATTTGAGTTTAAGTTTCTAAATAATGTTAAAATTTTTGAATCCCCATATTCTGTAACCATAAAGAAGGATAGGGATAACCATTTTATCAAATACATCAAATTGACAATCGATGTACAAGTTCAATTCTGTAGGTCTTTGAATTATGGCGTACATTACACTGGATGCTCTTTGTTCATATATTTTCTCGTATTATATATATAAGGATCCAGTTCTTGAAAATGGTGCACGTAGTGGGTATGACCGGTCGGCATGGAAAGCTTTCTCCTATATGGCACCTGACCTAACATCTCCTGTATTAGTGGTCCGTGTTTGCTCTGCTCATGATTTGTGTTGTTTGAATAGACTTTTGAGGTTGAATACTGTTCGTTATCTCCATGTTTCATTTCTCATTCCTTTTCAAATTAATGAAACCTTAAATTTCTCAAAGAGTACCTTTTCTCTATAAAATCAAAAAATCAAATTAAATTGTAATGAAAGACAGTCTTAATTTAAGATACTAGTATGGGTAAAAAATAAAAAAAATAAAATCTGAATATTGGTCTGTGCAGCTCAGATAAACAGACTCAATCTGACTACTATCTATATAACATGCAGGGTTTCCGGTTTCCATTTCTACTCAAGTCATGACTATCCTTATTTCTAATGCTGCATTTTTTACTGTAGACTTGCAGACGAAAGTCTTAGCTTTCAGGGGGTTATGTATCTTCCAGGGCTAAGGTTACATAAGAAGGAGGGATTGTAGCTGTTTCTAAATATAAAATTCCTCCTGGTACTATTTTCATTGATCTATACTGGAGTTTCTCCTGAGCCAAGCCCTCCAGCGTAGCAGCAGTCAATATTGTTTGATGACGGGTGATATTCCAAAAGAAATGTTGACTGCGCTGAATTTATGCGCGTATTAATTATAAGATTCACTGTAAATATGTATTTGTATAAAACATTCAGTATAATATTGTAATAAATGTTGCATGAAGTTGAGAATAACATTTAAAATTTTCGCTCCTCGAAAACCATTGTCAACCGAGGCGCAACCAAGTTTTCTTGGCGTGAAATTTTTCAATATTATACTTTCATGTAAATTAGTTGAATCTGATTGGTCGAGAAACATTTGATAAAAAACACTATTACCCGCCCTCCAGCGTAGCAACAGTCAACATTGCTTGACGACGGCTGATATTCCAAAAAATAGCGACTGCGCAGAATTTGTGCGCGCGCGGTTCACTGTTATATGTTTTTGTATAAAACATTCAGTATAACATAATAAATATTGCATGTAGTTGAGTGTAACATTGAAAATTTTGACCCCAAGAAAACCATTGTCAACCTAGGCGCAATTGTCAACCTCGGCTGCGCCTCGGTTGACAATGGTTTTCTTGGGGTCAAAATTTTCAATGTTACACTCAACTTCATGCAATATTTATATAATGTTACACTCAACTACATGCAATATGTATATAGTGATAAGTGTATATGAAAAGATAATTAGGATTATATCATATACAACACAAACAATTTTTATTAAGATAAAATAAAAATTAAAGGTTTTCTAAAAAAAAAACAAAACAAAAAAAAAAAAAAAAAAAAAAAAATCAATTTTTATGCCCCATATTGCTTTGCTGCTGTCTGTCGGTCTGTCGGTCCACTTAGTTTCCGTTCATTTTCTTCGCAACCGATGCACATACTGAAATGAATTTTGGTATACAGATATATCACGTATATGTAGGTCAAGTTCTGTTTTGGGGACGATCGCACCATTTTTGACAGAGTTATGTCCCTTGGACTTAGAAAAATTCCAATTATTTGCAGTTTCCGTTCATTTTTTTGCTGAGGTTGCATATACTGAGATGAAATTTGGTATACAGATTTATCAGATAAATATCTTGGTCAAGTTCTGTTTTGGGTACAATTGCCCCATTTTTGACAGATCGATTTATGCCCTTTTGGATTTAGAAAAATTCCAATTTGGGGGGAGGGGGCATAAGTGTTTTACAAACACCTCTTGTTTTTTGTCAGGGTATACTAAAAGTCTTTATTTTCTGCATGTATTTTGATATTCATCAGCAACGCGACCAAGGCTGAGTTCAATGATCCGGGTAGATCAGTCGACCCCCGCAATTGGACGTAAATATAGAATCCATGGAAGCCCGGATGGAGATCACAAATAAGGTTTGTTAATTGACAGATTAACCAGGAAATAACGGAGTACCTTTCATTCTTATAAACATCGTTAATACACATCATTTTTTCAAGGTGTACAAAAATACTTGTACATATAAAACTCTGAAAGTAATATTTTAGGCAGAGTTAATAATAAAGTTACTTTTCAAAAATAACAACGGGAATTTAAGCCATGATTCGTATATGTATTCAAAACCTATTCAGGTGATGTAGAAACCTGTGTGTTCAAATCATGTACCTGCGGTAGGATAAGGCTTCAAAAGTATATCAAATGTAGGAATCACTTTAACAATTAACTGCTCAAACTGAACCGAAATCTGATTTTTTTTTCTAGCCAAAGTTTCAGGTGGGCAAATTTTCAAGATTTCAAAAAATCTAAAAAAGAATATTTGGTTAATTTTTTTTTAACTGTCATGCATATGAACATAAAAAAGAGACTTTTTCAAATATGTTCAGATTTAATTCTTATAAAATATCTATGAATATCAGTATTTGATACATATCTTATATTTATCGTTTTAAATGGACGCCCATACATGTAGTGTTACCTGACAGGTCAAGTTCAGCTAGATTACCTTTAAATTATTCAGAGAGTGATTTCTCGTTAATTGGTGGTAGTTTATAAATTATAGTTCCCTGGCAATATATTTTATTTGTCGTTAAACTGACACTTGCCAAAGATCAGTGAGCAGGGACACCTCCCCCCTTCCCCGAATTAGCAACTTGTGTACTCACAAATAAAACACAGCTCTCAGAACTTTCGGTACTTTGATTAAAAATTACATTGATTTTAATTTTAACATTTTATTTTTTTTTAAGTCTCATCATTCAGAGCGAGAATGTAGGGTAGCATAAATTTAAGATTTTCCCCCTTACTCGTCTATGTAATATTAATAGCAAAATCGAGTTCGATAAGCAACTCATTGCGGAGATTTGTGTTATCAAAGGAAAACTTTTTTTTATTTAATCGTTAAACAGCTGTTTAACGTTTAACAATCCGGAGGATTCATATACCCTAGCCAATATGTTCTATTTTTTTTTTAATTTAGAACATTATTTTTGATAGTTATTTTGAGAACTGTTGTGTTCTGTGTTTTACAGGGTCCTTTTGGGTATATCAACGCGCCTAAATTTAAGCGTTCACGTCACCCAAGTTTGTTTTGATAAAGATGGCGCTGAATTTGTTTTTTCCTGCTGTACTGCTTTTATTTTCCTTTACAGTCATAAATACTAATAGCATTGATGGGTGTATTGTAGGGGGAACAGAATGTAAGTAGGCCTGTACTTTCATCTCTTAAAAGAGATCTCAATGCAGTTTAATTCGGAATGGACAGGGAGCCATCTTACTCTTCGAGTAGATCAAGAACAATCAGTACATATAATATCATAAGCTATGTAGCTTTGATTACATACATGGCCTTATTAAGCTACTCAAAGAAGTTTTATTTAGATATTATATTTGCATATACGAGATATCGTAGATACAGTTTTTGTTTAGTTCAAACAGTTAACTGCGTCAAGTGTTTATATAAGACATCAGTGTGGAAAAGAAGAATGAGTTAACGTTGATTGTCATAATTACTTTTAATGAAAACATAGGACTGGACGTTGAATTGAACTTGGGACCCTGCATTACTAGTCAGGTACTCTAAACACTGAGCTATGTAGACCGATATCCATCATCCAGCCTAAATTCATTCATTCCTCCCTCTTTAAACAGCTATGCCCAAAGACAAAACACAAGTTCACCATGTCAGGACAGGATTTTACATTTATTACATACATAATTATATTTTGTCTGAACAGGGTAGCTAGCAGCACCATTGAAAGATAAAGATAATTCAGAAATTACATATAATATTATTGAAAACATATGGCAGAATTGAATCCAGTACCCTGCATAACAAGTCAGGTGACCACTGAGCTATCCAGGCTGATGTACTTAGTCCAGCCTAAATTCCTAAATATATATGTACATGTAAAATCAAGTGAAAGTTTAAATTAAGCATTTATAACCATGCAATCAACTATTCCCAGAAAATGGAATAGCAGCTACATGTAGGTTGCCATCTAAAAAAAACAAAAAAAAACTTGATATAGGTTTAAACTTACAACCAAACAGGTTGACCATAATACTTTCACTACAGCAATGTTTCTAATTAATACAAACCTTTAAAGATTACAACATGTTTCTTGCTTTTATTTATACATCAAGTTATTACTCAAAAATGCATTACTTCCACAAAACAGGAAATTTATCTATTTGTAGACCATATAATGATAAATGATTATGTGTTTTAATGTAAAGGTATAATGGTATATTTTCCCATTTTAGGTTTTGAATTTAATGTATTAAAAGATCGAACAGTTGACCATGTTTCGGTGAAAAGTGAATATGATGATGATGACGAGCCTTATTATTGGAAGATTTACTGCTTTAAAGGACTTTCAGAGTCGGTCATTTTCTTGTGGGTGAATCCTGTGGTATGTTAAATTTCAAATATTGATAGATATGTATGCATGTATCTTTGTGAATCATGTTTATCAGATATTATAAAAGAGTATAACCCCATTTATATCTAAAAACGTGACAGTTTCTTAATAAACACCATGCCCTACATGAATAGCAAAAATACAATAAAGCAAAATCGACCATAATTAACATCTCATTCAATAGAATTATTTCATTACAATTTATTTTGTTGGATATACTCTGACTCAAAATACACATGTAGATTACTTGATAAGTTTTTCTTCCTTTTCTTCTTTTTATACCCCTGCTCCGAAGGAGAGGGGTGTATACTGTTTTACCCTTGTGTGTCTGTCTAGCTGTGTGTCTGTCCGTAACAAATTTTCGTCGCAGTTTTCTCAGCAACTACTCATTGTAGATGCTTGAAATTTTAACACAATCTTCTCTGAGGCATGCCATATGGTGGGAAACATTTTTGTACAAATCTGATGTCAACTTCCTCTTTGTCTGTCCATTTCATACATAACAAAATTTTGTCACAAGTTTCTCAGCAACTACTCATCGCAGATGCTTGAAATTTTAACACAATCTTCCCTAAGGCATGCCATACGGTTGGACACATTTTTGGTCAAATCCTCAATGTCAACTTCCTATTTGTCTGTGCATCCGTCTGTTTCATACATAAATTTTCGTTGCAGTTTTCTCATTAACTATTCATAGCAGATGCTTAATTTTAGTACAATCACGCACTCTTCGTTGAGGCATGCCATATGGTGGGATTAATTTTGATATGAATCTGATGTCAACTTCAAATTTTTCTGTGTGTCTGCCTGTAATTGAACTTGTGTATATTAACATGATAGTGTAATTGAACTTGTGTATATTAACATGATAGTGTTTATTTACATCAGAGCAGGGGTATTACTAGTGAGCATTGGCTCACAGATTTCTTGTTTTCACTGATAAATGTTTTTTGAAAAAACACAGATATACACATTTATTCTTCTGTGGCTCTAACTTCAACATCCTCATGGATGTACATTAATTGCCGCAAAATAAAATTATGTAATAAATCTTGTCTAAAAGCAGAAAAGATAAGTTTGTATCCCCCCCCCCAAAAAAAACTCCGAAGGTCAAGGTCAAACCTACTTCATTGTGAAGGATACACAGCTTATATGATATAGATGATTTTTTTTTATCCAATCAAATAACATGTTTCAATGAAAATTAAACTATTTTGTGATAATTTAAAAAATATTTCAAATGTATTTCAGATGAAACTTAATTTTAGTCATGTACCAAGTCATTTTAAGACAGTCCGGGGAAAAACTGTACAGGAAGTCAAAGATCAAAGAGATTCCTTCAGCCCGGTATACAGTGTCCTCCAAAAGTTGAGACTGGTTGTTCAGAGAGAGGTGGAAGAAGTACCATTTATTGCTTTTAACCAGAGCTGTATTGGTGTCCAGTCAGACACACCATTCACTGTCAAATTTTTAATCAAAAGTATAGTTTTAGCTTTGTTTCTTTCATTCTTTAAATTTTAAGTAAAATCAAGCTTTTGTGTACTGGAAATAAATGTTTTGTTGTTCATACAATATAAAGGAGGAGGAAAAGGAAGTGTCATTTTAGTACAAGACTATGTCCTGGATTTAATTTATGACCTTTAAGTAAACACTAGATTTGCCTTGTTTTAACATTTTCAGATTTGGAACCCTGGCTTTTGGCCTCTCTAGGATTTGGAATTATCCTCTTCTTATCAGCAGGAAGTTGGAGTCAGTAAGTTATTTTTTTCAGATCATCTGAGTTAGAAACTAGGGAGCTTTTTAGCTCACCTGAGACAAAGACTCAAGTGGACTTTTTGGATCAACGAATATTCTCTGCAATTAACATTTACATTTTTGATCTTTTTTAGAATCATTGGCTAATTTCACTAATCTTGACACAGATCATTCTTTGGTTATCAAATTCAAATGTGTTTAAATAAGTGGAAGGGCCTTTCTCTTTTTCAAGGGTAAATAGTTCTTTTAAAAAAATAGCATAAAATTGCTGGTGTCTCACATCAAATTTTCCTAAGTTCCTCTCAGTAACCACTTATAAAACAAATTGTGAAAAATTTCTGAATGATTGTTGATTTGATTTATTTCAAATCATGATACATCTGTATGATAATATATTTAACTTTCAGCAATGTGAAGCTGCACTACGGTTTTGGTGTCGGGGTTGGAGTGATGGCGTCCCTCCTCGTGATAGCGTTTGTGATGAGCAGGATGTTTCCTCAGGTACTACACATACACATACAAATTCAGACAACATGAAGCTGTGTTTTTATGTGCAATTTATGTCAAAGCAGACCAAGATTTATTTGAATCAAACTATCTTATATCATTTTCTTCTGAAAAGTTTTGAGGAAAATAGAAATGTAAGTGTTCAAATTAAAATTTTCTAGATCTTAAATGTCTTTTTTTCATACAACCATATATACTGTGAAATCATAAATTTTCGTGGGGGTTTAATTTTTCATTGTTTTTGAGTATGGAGAGACCCACGAAATCATGTCCACCATGAAATGTAAATGGTTACATAACTACTCAACAATTCAGCATCCACAAATTCAAATCCCCACGAACCAAAAGTTTTTACTCAAACCACGAAAATTTGACCCCATGAAAATATGTGATTTTACAGTAGACTTCAGTCAGAACCTTGCAGGTTTTTTTTTGTTTTGGTTTATCAAAATTTGTCATACAATGACTACCTCATCACTAGATCAAAAGAAAAGGCAGGTCCCCTTTAAAGGAATGTTTAAAGATTTATTAAAAGAAGTAGGATTGGTTCATTCAGCAGAAAACTTGTACTGAAGAGTAATTTATTCAGTATAAGTTTAAAGACATACAGATCAGTAAGAACTGAATTATAGAAAGCATCAAAGCAGGTTCAAATTTGTTGAAGGATTGACTTGAGGCTACAGTAGGGGGCAAAAGTTTAACATTGATTTGAATATCCTCTTTCTAAAATGCAAGTAGTTTAAAACATGTAGCCAAGATTCAAGGTTATTTCATTCTTGACCCACAGTCAAATTATGTTATGGGATGAGATAGGCAAAGCATGTGTTTATTAGGTCACCTGAGTAACTCAGGTGACCTATTGCAATGCTATCCATTTTCGTCCGTCGTCGTGCGTCGTGTGTCGTGTGTTAACATTTGAACATTTTCAGCTTCTTCTCTGAAACCACTGAACCAATTTCAACCAAATTTGGTATACAGCATCTATGGGTGGAGGGGAACAAAAATTGTGAATTTCATGGTCCCCGCCCCCCTGGGGCCTGAGGGATGGGGCCAAAACTACCAAAATTATTTCAATCTTTCAAAATCTTCTTTACTCCAATACATCAAGCAGGCAAACTGTTGGCATGAATGTAATGAGCATTGAGTCCTCTACCAAAATTGTGAAATTCATGGCCCCAGGGTCAGGGGTTCTAGTGCTAGGGCGGGGCTCTATAGATTATATAGTGAAAATGCATTATTTCTTTGAAAATCTTCTTCTCTGCTCCTGGGTATTAAATATACTAACTAAGCACATAGTTATGATGAGCAAAAGTGCCTCTTCCAGATTTGTGAATTTTATGGCCCCAGGGTCAAGGGTTCTGGTGTTAGGGCGGGGCTCTATAGATTATATAGTGAAAATGCATTATTTCTTTGAAAATCTTCTTCTCTGCTCCTGGGTATTAAATAAATTAACTAAGTGCATAGTTATGATGAGCAAGAGTGCCTCTACCAAAATTGTGAATTTTATGGCCACAGGGTCAGGGGTTCTGATGTTGGGCTCTCTCTGATTATATAGTGAAAATGCGTATATTCTTTGAAAATCTTCTCTGCTCCTGGGTATTGAATAAACTAACTAAGCACATAGTTATGATGACCAAGAGTGCCTCTTCCAAAAATTGTGAATTTTATGGCCCCAGGGTTAGGGGTTCTCGTGTTAGGACGGGGCTATATTGATTATATAGTGAAAATGCATTTATTCTTTGAAAATCTTCTTCTCTGCTTCTGTGTATTAAATAAACTAACTAAGTACATAGTTATGATAAGCAAGAGTGCCTCCTACAAAATTGTGAATTTTAAGGCCTCAGGGTCAGGGGTTCTGGTGTTAGGGCGGGGCTCTATTGATTATATAGTGAAAATGCATTAATTCTTTGAAAATCTTCTTCTCTGCCTCTGTGTATTAAATAAACTAACTAAGTACATAGTTATGATGAGCAAGAGTGCCTCTTCCAAAATTGTGAATTTTATGGCCCCAGGGTTAGGGATTCTGGTGTTAGGGCGGGGCTATATTGATTATATAGTAAAAATACATTAATTCTTTTAAAATATTTTCCTTTGCTTCTGGGTTTTATGCCAATGATCCAAGTATATATATATATTTATGATGAAGAAAGGTGCATCTAGCAAAGTGGTTTTTATATGCCCCCAGGGTCAGAGGGGGAGGGGGTTACATAGTCTGAAAATAAATTAATGCTTTGAAATCTGCTCTTTGGTATTAATCAACCATTTTATGATAAAATTTGCAAAATTTTGAAAAACATGTATGTGGCCCATGGGTCAGTGGTTCCTTTAGGGTAAGGTGCACAACTGGGTATAAAGTGGAAGTGCATTTTCTCTTTGTTACTCTGATCTACCTCTGGGTATTAAGTAAATTGAGTAAGCATGCTAAGTTAATAATTATGATAAGCAATGGTGCCTCTTTCAAAATTGTAAATTGTGAATTTCATGGCCTCTGGTTTAAATCACGAACCAAATTTAATTGTTTGAAAGTTGTTACACAATACTCAGGTGACCTATAAGGCCCGTGGGCCTCTTGTTAAAGGAAATATTCATTAAAATATAACAAAAATCAGATGAGGACTAAATCAAATTTTGGGATTCAAAATTTTGCATATTCTGAATGTAGATCTTCACAATGTTCACTCCATTGTATGTTGATGTAAGTAAATTTTTAATTGATATTTATTCTGTTTAAATGCCATATGCGCTATCTATACATCATACATAATAGGCTAATATTAGAAGTGTGAATTTGAAATATCTAATTAATTAATGAGGGAATAGTACTATTAACATCAAGGACATGTATTGGAGAGAAAATATGTACTGGGTATATAGAATCCATTAACATAAATGACAAAGAAACTGATGCAAATATTTTCATGTATAATTATAATAAATATATTAACCTTCAGAAATCTGTATATGTGCTGAAAAATGTGGGCTTCATATTTTAGCAGCTTTAGTGCAGATAAAAATGCAAAAATAAATTTGTGAATACCATTAATAAATGAATAAATACAATACATAGTGCAGACATGCATCACACTTATTTATTTAAAATGTTTATGTATTGGGGGAAAATTTATAGGAAAAATGCTTGGTGAAGGAAATCAAAATTTCTTTAATTTATATGTAACCTTACATACATGTATATATAACAGGTATAAGTATCATTATCTTTTATATACCTGTACTCTTTTTTTATAATTTCAGAGCCTTAGGAAACTTGGTTATGTACTGATGGCAATAGGATGTTCTACCTACATGTACTTATGGACGTACATTGTACAACATTTTTACGAGACCTCCTCCAGTTTGTTTGGCATGTATTGGCAATGGATTGTGGGATACGTCCTAGTCTCAGCCCTCGTCAGTTTCGCCCTCTGTTATCGCTACGGTCCAGTGACTGAGCCTAGGACACTGAATCTGATCAAGTGGTGTTTACAGTTGATTTCGTTGGTATTCATCTACAATGGTACACAGATCCGAGAGGCATCTGTAGCCATTATTGTGACTTTGATTACTTTGTATAACCTTCCTGCTGGATTATTTGACAACAGGTTTACTAGATATATTAGGTAGGTACCTGGTGCTTACTCCTGTGTGACATAGTTTAATCCCCTTGCAATGAAGTTGGAGGGAATATAGTAATGCAGTGGTGTGGTTGTTTGTTTGTGTGTGTGTGGAGGAGTGAGTTAGTGCTGTGCAAAACAGATGTGAGGTAATTTGCAATGGGATCGATGTCAAATGCTGCCTCAGTTTATGTTTTTTATCACAGACATTGTTTTTAAATTGTGAAGTTTAAAGTTATACTCACTTGAAAAAAAAAACTAATTTAAAAACATGTACAGGAATTACACATGTACGTAGTAGTTACATAATAGTTAATTTGTTTTTGATATTAGCCAACTCTTCATTGTATTACATGTATGTCTTCTTCTCCATAACAATCTTTTTTTGCATTGGGAGGGGGTTAATGACTAAGTAAAGAAAAATGACTATTGTTTTGGATTGGAAAAATAATATTATAAGTGAAACTTTCAATCATATCAACAATTTATTGTAAAAAGAAATAATTGAAATTAGTTGTAAAACTTGGCTTTATAAATTTACAACTTGGACCATGTGGACATTGGGTTTATGCATGTAAATTCATATCATTGAAAATAATTTAATGTAAATAACAAGAATATACTTTTGTTTCCCAACCCATATCTCTTTCACTTTTAATCATTTTAAGGTATAATGTAGACACTATTTCAACTCTAACCAGGTAAAATTAGTAACCATGCTCAGCAATTTACATCATGTTTCCCTACTTGTGGTTTTAAAGATTTAGATTTTTATGATTAAAATCTTAAATTAATTAACTTTTTCTCTAAAAAAAAAACAATGTCTCTCCTTGTTTTATCCATCTTACATTATTTCAAAAAAATTTGTATCCCTTTACTGTTCCATTGGTCACCTGTGTGCATTCAAGTGATACATGATTTCCTAAATATACTTCGTTTGGTATGTCTTAAAATTTCATTTTTGCCGCTTTTGAATTTCTTTTTGCTACTTCTGAAAAAAAATGCAAATGGCACATCACAGCTTGTGCACTGCAAAAAATAAATCATAAAAACTAGCATTTCTCTTGAATACATGGATAGGTATGTTGCATTGTTATGTTCCTGCATCCATGCATGACACATGAGCTTGAATTTAAGCATTACATATATTTGATTTTGCTTGATTTTTCATTCTTAAAATGACCCCATGCTATGAATCATAAATTAATCTATTGTCCAGTTATAATTTTAATTTATAATAAACTGATGCATGTTTCAGTTTAATTTTATCTACCAGTGTTTCATGCATACTGTATTAATTTCATAAAAAAAACTATAGCTATCAGCTTTTGAGATTCTTTGTGAAGTTAAGACTAATTTTCACTACTGTTGATTTTACAGGTACAGACTTTTCAAACCCAAGATCAAGCTCCTGACTGAACAAGAATACCAGCAACAGGGCTTTGAGGAGACAAAGAAAGCCCTTGAGGAACTCAGGAGTTTCTGTCAGAGTCCTGATTGTAACAAGTGGAAGACCATCAGCTCACTCAGTAACCCTCGCAGGTAATTATGAGGTCATACTTATTCTGTCCTGAGTGTATCCTGTCTTCCAGAGTGGAAGACAAGATCAGCTTGCTCAGTAACCCTCGGTATGAATTAAGGTCATGCTCATTCTGCCCTGAGGGTCACTAAAAACCAAATGCTTATTACAATTATGAAAACAATTTGATACATGAACTTGATTTCAAGGAGTTTAAAAGAGGATAGCACTTTAGTCATGCCAATCTGCATCCTGTAATCATAAATGGAAGACCATTAGCTCACTTGGTAACCCTTGCAGGTCTGTGCACTCAGTTTTTATTAGGGTCATACTCATTTAGTCCCAAATGTAACCAGCGGAAGACCAACAGTTTTCTCTGTAACCATTGAAAGTCTGAGTACTCAGTATTCTTATACAGTCCTGAATGTAACAAATGGAAGACCATCAGTTCACTCAGTAACCACTTAAGGCCCCCGAACTCAGCATTTAGTGCAGCAAAAATCATGTGCTAACCAAAGTCCTGATTGAAGCTTTGTGCACTCTGGCATCGTCAGATACCCACGAGTAAAGATGAGATCATCCGTGGGTATCTGATGATGGCACTCTGGGCTCTAGGTCATATTCCCAGATCAAATTCACTTGTCACAATAACCTCTCACAGGATCTTTATTATGCCCCCTTCAAAGAAGGGAGGGCATATTGCTTTGCTGCTGTCCGTCGGTCTGTTGGTCCATTTAGTTTCCGTTCATTTTCTTCACAACCATTGCACATACTGAAATGAAATTTGGTATACAGGTTTATCAGGTAAATATCTAGATCAAGTTCTGTTTTGGGTACGATCGCCCCAGTTTTGACAGAGTTATGCCCCTTGGACTTAGAAAAATTCCATTTATTTGCAGTTTCCGTTCATTTTCTTCGCAGGGACCGCACATATTGAAATGAAATTTGGTATACAGATTTATGAGCTGAATATCTAGGTCAAATTATGTTTTGGGTACGATTGCACCATTTTTGATAGAGTAATGCCCCTTGGACTTAGAAAAATTCCACGTATTTGCAGTTTCCGTTCATTTTCTTTGCAGAGGTTGCACATATTGAAATGAAATTTAGTATACAGGTATTTCAGATAAATATCTAGGTCAAATTCTGTTTTGAGTACAATCGCTTCCTTTTTGTTAGAGTTATGCCCCTTGGACTTAGAAAAATTCCACTTATTTGCAGTTTCCGTTCATTTTCTTTGCAGAGGTTGCACATATTGAAATGAAATTTAGTATACAGATTTTTCAGCTGAATATCTAGGTCAAGAAATGTTTTGGATTGGATCGCACCATTTTAGACAGAGTTATGCCCTTTTGGACTTAAAAAAATTCCAATTTGGGGGGAGGGGGGCATAAGTGTTTTACAATCTTGTTTAAATGTTGATTCTTTTTATTAAACTGTAAGACCAAATGCATTGTTCTAGTAAAATGAATAATTATGTTGACAGATTTGCTGATTTTGTGGAGGGTCGATCCTGGCACGTGACAGACGATGAATTGCTGGAATATGACAGCGGACCAGACGTGACTCCCGCGACGGACGAAGACAGTGACCAGGAAATACAGAATGCAGAAAACAGCCAACCAGACGCAGAAAACAGCTCACCAGACTCATCTCAGGGACCCATCCCCGAGATAGACTCAGAGGAGGAGGATCGAGCGGGAGGCAACACGTCCGACCAGAGCATAGACGGCCCTCCATTGTCCTGATATGGTTCTACTCAGTAATTTAGATTTAAGAACAAATTGTTAGAATCAAGTGTGTTGTGAAAGGCAAAAGTTGCAGATTTATCCTGTAAAAATACTCATGCATAATTATGGAGAACATGACAAAGTTTATTGTAATATGACTAGAATAATAAGCTATAGTATGAATTGAGTATGTTGAAAGTTGAAACATTGACTGTGTTTGTGAGTTGTAGTTTGGACATGTTTGGTCATAACTGCAGATTGTATGGGAAATGAATATTTCCATTAACTTTTGATTGCTTAGTGTGTATAGAAGATTTCGAAATGAAATAAGTTTGTGTATTTAGAGTGAACATCTTCCTTTGATATGATTGGGAATTGATTATGAAACGTTTGAATATTTTGTATGGGGACTTCAATTTAATGTTATTTTTATTAATTTTTTGAATTCACTTACCTGTATATGGTAAGTCAATTTTCTCATGGACAAAAATTTAGATATACATGTATCAGAACAACAATTTTCCTAAATTTGAATGAGATGGAGATCATGAGAAACTAAACTGCATGCATGCTGTCAGGAATTGAAGTGAAAATAAGAAAGTGCTTACTCATAAGTATTATGTGTTCCAGTTTTGTTTTTTGCCTAAACAGAGTCATGTCAGAGTGAGCTTTTTCATGATCACTGATTGCCCATTGTAAATATTTAACATAATCTTTTGAGAGAGGCAAAGCCATTATATAAAGCATATCATTCTGTTATTTTAAGTAGCCTTTTGCAGTGTAGATTCAGTTTGATCATGAGATTAGGATTGTAAAGAAAAAAAAACATTCTAAAGAAAAAATAATTATTAAAAGTAAGGGGTGGGTTCAGAATGCAAATACCAAGGTACATAAGAATTTACAAGAAATCTGCAAACTCAGAGAAATCAGGGTAAAATGCAAGTTATATATATCTATGTGGAAAGCAGATTCATGAACAATAAAAAAGGTAACAATTTATATAAAGTTAACATTATAAGTTAGATTTGTTGAAATCATATTGGCTTCAATTTAAGGGGGAAATAAATTTTGGTTGTATTATTATTTTTTTTTAATTTATTCTCAAAAAGAAGATGTTCAGTCAGGTATGCAGTGTTGCCCACGGATTCTAGTTTGTCCAAATACCAAATTTAAAGTTTTAATTTGAAGATTTGTAAAGCTTTAAATAAGGTTATTAAATACACTGTAATGCAATTTTTCCCGGTTCTCTTAGAATTCTAGATTATACTGTACGTACTGTATAAATTGTATCAGTTGATGATCCTTTTTTAATTTTCGTCTATAATGCAATCGGCATTTGAACATATAAGTATACATGTATAAATGATATACTAGTAGTTCATCTGTTTGAAAAAAAAAAGAACTGTAGGTATTGCATATTAAAAACCATTGTACATATGTAAATAAAACGATTTTATATCATTAAAAAAATGTCCTTTTTCTTGAGTAACATATAGTTTATAAATAAACATCAGGTATCAATGGTATTCATCAGATATGTTATGCTTTGCCTAACAGATATATCAAGAAACCTCAATGTCCTTTTGTTGATTCATGAAATGTGAGTGTGTGATTTTAACCCTCTCCCCCCAATTTTTATACCCCCCTTCGAAGAAGGGAGGGCATATTGCTTTGCTGCTGTCTGTCGGTCGGTCTGTTGGTTCACTTAGTTTCCATTCATTTTCTTCACAACCGTTGCACATACTGAAATGAAATTTGTTTTACAGATATATCAGATGAATATGTAAGTTTTGACAGAGTTATGCCCCTTGGACTTAGAAAAATTCCAATTATTTGCAGTTTCTGTTCATTTTCTTTGCAGAAGTTGCACATAGTGAAATCATATTTAGTATACAGGTATATCGGATGAATATCTAGGCCAAGTCCTGTTTTGGGTACGGTCGCGCTATTTTTGACGGAGTTTTGCCCCTTGGACTTAGAAAAATTACAAATATTTGCAAGTTTCCATTCATTTTCTTTGCAGAGGTTTCACATACTGAAATGAAATTTAGTACACAGATTTATCAGATGACTATCTAGGTCAAGTTCTGTTTTGGGTATGGTCGCACCATTTTTGACAGAGTTATGCCCTTTTGGACTTTGAAAAATTCAAAATTGGGGGAGGGGGGCATAAGTGTTTTACAAACATCTCTTGTTTATTAACCATTATTTTTTCTGCTCTTGTTAGCTCTTCTGAGCCAAAGGCTCAAAGAGCTAATGCTATGGCCATTTGTGCAGTGTGCGTAAACTTTTTAGAATATGGGCCATAACTCAAGAACCCCTTGGCCAATCAGTACCAAATTTGTCACAGGGTATCCTTTGCCCAAGGACTACCATTTATACTAAAATAAGGGTTGGGACCCTTAAAAAAGGGGAGATAATCAGGAAAACAAAACCAAAACTACTGGTTGCTAAAAAATCTTCTTCTCCATAACCACCAGGCAGATTTTCACCAAACTTACATACAAGGAACAGGATATGTCGAAGATTAAAATTTGCACGGGGAATTACCCTGGGGCAAATGTGCATTCAAGGTCACTTCAAAGTTGACCTAAATTTACAATTAATAAAATCGTGCATATTTTGCTTACTATAAGGACTAGGATCATCAATTCTTGTAAGTTGATGCATCTTACGACTTAACATCATGTTAACTCAAAAGTAGGTCACGGTGACCTACTTTTTAAATTTTGCGGGGATTTGTTTTCAAATTGATTTGAAGGCATATTTTGGATTCTTTAAGGCCTATGATCATCAAACTTTGTCAGTTGATGCATCTTGGGTCCACAAACATTGTCAACTTAAAAGGTCACCGTGACCTACTTTTTGAACTTTATGACTTATCCTTTTAAAAACATTAAATCCCATTATTTCAGACACTGGGAGGTTTAGAATCATCAAATCTTGTACTTTGATGCACCTTGGGACCTTAAAACATATTTATGAAAAAAGGTCACTGTGACCTACTTTTTGAATTTTGCCGACATTTGTTTTCAAATTGTTTAAAACGCATATTTTGATTACCTTCAGACCTACGATCATTAAACTTGGTCAGTAGATGCATCTTGGGTCTTTGAAAAATGTCAACCAAAATGTAGGTCACGATGACCTACTTTCGACATTTTATGGCTATATTGAAGTATCTTAGGTATTTATTGGCTTAGAATCATCAAACTTTGTGAGTCCATGCATATTAGGTTTTCAGAGAGTGACGACCTAAAAGTAGGTCATGGTGACCTACTTTTGACATTTTATGGCTTTATTTAAGTATCTCCGGTACTTATTGCGGCTTAGAATCATCAAACTTTGTGAGTTGATGCATCTTGGGTTTTCGGAGAGTGGCAACCAAAAAGTAGGTCACAGTGACCTACTTTTGACATTTTATGGCTATATTTAAGTATCTCTGGTACTAATTGTCTTAGAATCGTCAAACTTTGTCAGATGATGCATCTTGGGTTTTCATTGAATGTCCAACAAGAAGTAGGTCACCGTGACCTAATTTTGAGTATCTCAGGTACTTATTGGCTTAAAATCATCAAATTTTGTCAATTTAGGCATTATGGGTTTTCGAATAAAGTCGACCAAAAAGTAGGTCACCGTGACCTACTTTTGACATTTGATGGCTATATTTAATTATCTCTGGTACTAATTGGCTTAGAATCGTCAAACTTTGTCAGATGATGCATCTTGGGTTTTCAAAGAATGTTTACCAAAAAGTAGGTCATGGTGACCTACTTTTGAATATCTCAGGTACTTATTTAATTAGAATCATTAGTCTTTGTCAATTAATGTATCTTGAGTCCTCAGAAAACTTCAATCAAAAGGTAGGTCACTGTGGTCTCTACTTATGGTATTTTATAATAATATAATATCTTCAGTTTTAACTGGCTAAATATTATCAAACTTTGTAAGTTGATGCATTTTGGATCTTATGATTCTAACAGAGTTGGAGGCTTCTAATAGAAGTGATAGATTGTACAATTTATCAGAAGAGCGATTCAAGGCCCTTGGGCCTCTTGTTATTATTTGTACATATTTTTTTCAGTTTAAGTCTAAATGCCTATTTGCTTAGTCAGAAGTTGATAATTTCAAATGTGTACCGTATTATATTATACCGACTGTATCATAGTGAAAGGTTGAGGGAGTTTGTATGGTTTTTTTTTTTTTTTTTTTTGCAATCTTTGAAGAAAAAGTTATATCTGTAGACATTAATTGACACAATATCAAGGTTTTATGATACAATGTTTCGGAACACTTTGCGTCAAGAAATGATGTCACAATACCTTGACATTATGAAGGTGTGTCTGCAGATTGAGATAAGGGGGGGGGGGGAGGGTTCATACTTGAGATAAAGTAAATTTAATTTATAAAAAAAACTGTTATGGCTCCTCATCAACAGTGATCAATGTGATTTGGAGGAGATCACCTGACTGAATTTAAGAAAAATTTATTTTTAATTTTTTTTTTGTAATTTGCAAATTTGCAGTACTTGTGCTAGAAATAGGTAAAAGAAATATTAAAGATTTGAAAAATACCCATTGAGTGCATGTAACAGTTGAGGGGCATCATCTAAACAAAAAAATATTTAAAGAAACAATGCCAGAATGTCCTTATCTGCAGCGAAAATTTAAGAGAACCCCCCCCCCCTCCTTTCCGTGTATTTTGGGTCTGATCTGGTAAATTTATACGAACTAATTGCAACAGAGCAAAGGGAAACAACATTTTATCAATTAAACTGGAACTGATGCTTTGTTTTTACAATATTTCTTTTTTAAAACCAAAAGAAGTGGTTTGATGTAACTTGGTAAACGAACGACCTATCTATAATCGAACGCACCACATCGAGTCAATAATGTCAACAAAGAGATGGAAGTAGATGAGTAAAAAGTTAAAGGCGGATTGTTGTCTCCCCAGCTCGATTGACAGGATGGCAGAAGACTCTGTAGTTCGTTTTATCAAGGAGGACTTGCCTAAATGTGCATTTCCCATGTTTGAAGATATTCGAAGACAGGGGAAACTCTGTGATGTTACATTGAAGGTGATGATCATTATCCCGCCATCTTTCAGTTTCACACCCGATAAAGGATATCTGTTATGTGTTTAGCTGGAAAATCATTTAGCTTTGCAACTCAGTCAGTTTTTTATCGTTAAATTTAAGATAAATAGAGATACCTATGGGAGTTTGCAAACAAATGATTATTATTGTAGTCTGTTCCGCTGCGTCATATTCTAATTCATAGTCATACAATGATTCATTGTAGGTACAAAATTATATTAATGTAAAACTAAAGGAAGCAGTGTATAAAAAAAATGATAGTCAAACGTTTAATTTTACAACTTCTGCCAGAACATTTCTTACAAAATGTCAATGAAGAATAACGGTGTGACAAATATCAATAACTCCTTTATTTGTACAGGTAGACTGATAGTGTTTCAGGTCACTAGTTCAGGACATTGGTTATAAGATACAGATATGTTTGCAGGCTATTTTGTGACCAGCCACACAGAAAAATTATTACAAAGGTACATTGCTTTTCAGTTCATGTTCCAGCCATACAGTGTTGAACTTAATTGTAGGTTTGATGAAAAAAAAAATTGTTATGAATCATGAGCTAGGTAGGCTTGTAATAAATTATTAGTTAATCTATATATGTCGGTTTCGTATATAAAATTAAAATTATGACACTCTTCTACTGTAATTGAGCTCTTGCTAGAGACTTCTTCCTGTAGTATCGAATCCATTATTTCTGTATATTGATATTTGCAATGGGATAGGGTAATTAAATGATTTATCATTGATGAGACTTGTGAATAGGTTTCTATATGTAGACTAGCTCTTTGAATGTTAAAAATCTGCCTCTCCAAATATACACTTTCATTGAAGGATTTTGGATGAACTTAAGTTGGTTTAACCAATGACCATCCTATTACAAAGAGAGCGTTATACTTAACTGCACTGACATTATCATATTTTGAACTTTGAAATTTTTATCAGAAATTTTTTTATAATTGATGATGTCTTTGACAGAATTTGTAAAACCCTTATATGGCAACAAAGGATTATATTGTACATAATTAACACACCTTTAATTTAAATTAGGTAATGTCTTATACATGTACCACCCAAAGACACAAAATAATTTTAATTTGGGATATCTAGATTTAGGCAAAATGAACCCATTATTCATAATTTTTTTTGACGTCCTAACTCTCTGTTATTTATGTTGTAATTAACATATAAAGGTGTTTTATTCTGAGCAGGTGGGAGACAGGAAGTTCACAGCACATCGGATTGTCTTGGCTGCGAGTATCCCGTATTTCCATGCCATGTTTACACATGACATGGTAGAATCAAAACAGAATGAAATTACAATGCAAGGCATCGATCCCAGGTATGTCTTCACATAAAGTACTGCAATGTGATAAATGTTTTCCGATATAGGTAATTCAGGTACCATATGCATGCAAATTAGCATGCTATTTCACACTCTTTACCATAAAAAAGAAAAAAAAATATAATAAAAGCATGCATGAGGCTATCTTTGAGATAATGTCTGTTTGCCCTCTCCCAATCTAAAGGAGAAGACAATGGGTTAGTAGGTAGGGGTGGATTTTTTCAGAAAAACTTCAACAAACATATTGACAGGATGGAATCTCGGGGATCTTTTTTTTTTATTATTAAATTGTTTCCTAGAAGTTTAAGAAAAGTTGTAGTTGGGCCATTTTTAGCCAGTTGGTTTGGATAGAACAAAGAATTTTTAAAAGATTGTCTGATGGTGATTTCTTTTTTATTTGTGGCTTAATTTTTTCAAATTTAAAAAAAAATTGCATCATCGAGTCTCTATAAGGTCTTTCCTTATGATAAATTCAGCTTGACTTCAGACTAACCATGAGTATATAAATTTCTGAAAATATTATGCATGAAACACCTCTGTTTTCTCATTCAGTGCTCTGGAGGCTTTGGTGAACTTTGCCTACAATGGGAGTGTGGAGATTGACTCTAACAATGTCCAGTCTCTGTTAGTGGGGGCTAGCTTCCTCCATCTACAGTCTGTCAAGGAGGCCTGTTGTGATTTCCTGAAAAAGAGGTAACCGTTTCTCTGATTACTCATCTAAACTGGTAATGTATACAAGCTTCTCATCAGTCTGGGTACAAATCAATTAAGTTTTAGATACTGAGTCATGCAAGTCAATATTAACATCATGATACATTAAATAGTTTATAAATGTAAAGCATTGTAGATGCATTTACTCATCTGGAAAAGCATTTAATTAAAACTGATTTTTTTATTTGCATAGAATATTTTACAGATTTGAGTATTACATATACTTAACAAAGCGTTTCTTATTGATAAACTTATAAATAGACTGTTTTCTTCCATGTAATATTTCAACATAAATGTTCATCTTTCAGTTTACATCCAACAAACGTTTTGGGGATCCGGTCGTTTGGGGACCAGTTTATGTGCCAGTCCTTAGTGGAGTACACAAATAAGTACATACAGAAACATTTCAAAGAGGTGATGGCGATGGAAGAATTTCTGAATCTCAACAAGGGGGAGGTTATGGAGATTATATCTCGAGATGAACTCAATGTTCACTCTGAAGAACAGGTTTGTGTAGTATTAGACTGAGTTACGTATGAACATGTACACCTGTACACCATTTATTTTAGCAATGATATATCACCTAAATTCTCGGAGGAGCACAGATTGTTTCCTAATCTTTAAATCAAAGAATAGGATCTTGATCAGGACTTTATGAAGTTTTGATCTATTTTCTGGCAAGAAAACCCTTACTGAGACAAATTTCCAATTTTTAATTCAATCTCTTTAATAAAATACACCAGCTGTTGTATATTCCCTTATTTAAAATCTTTCACATTATTTTTGAAACTTTCCAAAAAAATGATTACTGTATAGGGGAAAATAACTCGCGGTGTTAATATTCGCTATATTCATGGTGTGAATAAATCTGTGAATTCAAAAAACAGTGAATAAATTTTCAATAATCTCCATGCATGCTTTATTTGGAAATTTGAGAATAGATTACTAACGGTTGATATACATGTACATGCAGTACATGCCCATTTCAGTAAGGCCAAATAAAATTGAAATCTTGGTTCTCAGGCCCGCGCGCATCTGTTTTGAGGTAGCCGCATTGCTGATTTTATTGTATTTTTGATAAAATAAAAAGTTGATTTTGCGAAGACCAATCCGGGAAAAAAATTTCCGACCTCATTTTTTTCGTAGTTTAGTATTCAAATATCACTTCCGGTAGCCATTTACAATGAGATTTTGGCTCAGGGACTTCGCTTGAAAATACATTCAAGGACATTACCTACGATATTTACACGTTGTTAAGCAATGGATAAAGCAGTAATTTTGACCAGAAATGGAAAGTATATCTGTGATTTAAAAAAAATTATCTTTATGTTTAAGAAAATTCGGAAATTAAAATAAAAAAATACCTCCCTCATCTAATTTATTGCCAATAAAATGAAAAATAAAATGCCGCCCTCCCGCATTTGTTTTGGAGAAAATTGGCCTGAGAACCAAGGAATTAAATTTAGATAGCCTAATTACGAGTAGTACTTGTCATTCAATTATTTTAATTATCACGCTTTACTTTAATCAAATCAGCAGATAATAAAATGTGTTTGTTCATAGCTGTTTTAATAGCCAACACTACATATTTCATCAATCAAAACACGTGGGTCATGGGTTTTGATTACCCATTCGTAACTAATGTTACCACTTGTAATTTTTACCTGCATTATCATGCATATTGGTTTTTATCAACATTTTGGTTTTAAGAAATCGTTCAAATAAATATCGAACTTACTGAAGATGTTGAAAGATATTATTTCGTTGAAATACATAAGCAAATTTATTTCCATCCAGTTGTTTTTCACCACGTTAATTGTATTGAAGATCCTGGGTGCACATGCACTCATCGTAATTGCATCTATAGGAAAGTCATTTGACGTATAGAGTGAAGGACTTTTAATAACTGAACTTGTTTTAATTAATTATTTATCATTGAATCTAACAATTTTATATTAACCTACCCTGTTGTTCGTTAAATAAAGACATAACGCTGATTAATATCGTTTGCATGTAGCTCTGGTATGTATTAAACAGCTATAGACAAGGGAGATAACTTTTATAATATATACCAATTCTGCAAATTCAAGAAACCGCGATAGTGTCAGATGAGAGAAAAACGTGAAAATTACAACCCGTGAAATTAATCCCCTATACAGTATACAAAATCTTTATAAAGATATTCAGAGTTTTATCATTTCCTTTTGTTATTTTGTGTTTAAGGTTTTTGAAGCTTTTCTGTCCTGGATTAAAAAAGATGAGGAGAAGAGACGATCAGCCATGCCAGAGTTAATGGTGAAAGTGAGGCTGCCGCTACTGACTCCACAGTATTTATCTGACAGAGTAGCAACAGAAGATTTGGTCAAAAATTGTCTCAAATGCAGGTAAAACTAGCTTTTGGAATCTATCGTATAATTCTGTATCTTAAGTGCATAAGTCATGCGAAATATACTTGTGCAGCAATGCTTAAGAAAACTTTAAGGTCAAACATGAATTGCAGTTTGTAAAAGAAAATATTTTGTTAAGAAATTTAACTTCTGAAGTTGCAGTATTTTTTTTTAATACAGGGATTTGTTAGATGAAGCAAAAGATTACCACTTGATGCCAGAGAGACGGTCCCTAATGCAGACCTTTAAGACACGTCCACGATGCTGTACAGACGTACCGGGGCTAATCTATGCAGTAGGTGGACTGACATCCTCAGGTAAGTGTATGCAAATTCAGGGCTATTGAATTCGGCAAAACGTACTAAATGATTGATTGATTGTATATTGTTTAACGTCCCTCTCGAGAATTTTTCACTCATATGGAGACATCACTAATTGCCGGTGGGAAGCTGCAAATTTTGTCCTATACTCGGCACTCAGTGCCATTGAGCAGGGAGGGATCTTTTTCGTGCCAGCACCTACTGTGACACGGGACCTCGGTTTATACGGTCTCATCTGAAGGACCGGTCTCCACGTCCCACAGTGGGATTTGAACCCGCAACGTAAGGATTGACTCCTTACTTTGTGACTCTAGAGCAGATGCTCTAACCACTGCGCCACGCGGGCGACATGTACTAAATGAGATCATCAGATTTGCTTTAGTGACTGTTGTAAGTGTTAACTTCCTTTTTAGTTGGAATGTTAATTTCAGGAGGATGACATATTTTATCTCTTTCATAAGAGCAGCAAGAAAGAACTTTTCTTCCAATATCAGTAATAAAGTGTCATTGAGTTCTAGTTTTTGATCAAAATTCACAGCTTGAACCAAAGCACACTTGATAGGAACAATGTCAGAATTACCATGCAACTGTTTATCAATCAAATAATGTAAAAAATGTTTTAAAACAGAGTTTGATGTTTTGGTCTTATATAACAGGTGATTCAATGAGTACTGTGGAGTGTTATGACCCAATCACAAATATCTGGAACTCAGCGGAGGATATGAAGACTGTGAGGAGTAGGGTGGGCGTGGCTGTCCTAAACGGTAAGCTAATTCACCCAAATCCTTCACTCTTAAAAAATAAGGAATACTGCTCTTTAGTCTTTAACTAGCAAAATATTATATTTAGGGACTGTGGCAAAACTCATCATAACTATCCACATGAAATTGACATCCCTCATATACATTTTTTTAGAGAATTTTTTTCTGTTCAAGTCTGAAGCTATAAGTATATGATTTCTTCTTGTGTTAATGCCACAATAGGTAGACTTTATGCTATTGGTGGATTTGATGGAGAAGAAAGGTTGAGCACCGTGGAGGTGTTTCACCAGGGCAACAAGAAATGGAAAAAGGTGGCATCCATGAATTGTAAGAGAAGGTAAGGGTGTCTGAAGATAAAGCAGTGTAGTAACTCTGTCTAATCATCAAATAATGACATGCACTAGAATGTATTTCAAAATAGGGTGTTCTGTTGAATAGTAAAAAAAAAAAACATAGAAAATATTCAAGTGGAAATGAAATTAAAGTTTATACATGTATTGGATTGAAAAGGTATTAGATTAGACAGTTTTCACTGTTGTTCATAAAATGTCTGCCATTATGTCTCTGAGAGGATTTATGGAATCTATTTCTAGGAAATTCATTTTATGCTTAATAAACAAAATGCATATATAAATATTCTGTACATATTCTTGTAATAAGACTAAGATATTTGTTTGAACAGTGCCTTAGGAGCGGTAGCTTTGAACAGGAAGCTATATGTGTGTGGGGGATACGATGGGGTTTCCTCACTAAAGACAGTGGAAGTTTATGATCCAGAGAAAGATTTGTGAGTAAAAAGTTTATTGAGAAATCCCTCCCATTATGGGGATAAATGCAAGTATAAAATTCCTGATGTGAAATGTTATAGGAATTTTTATACCCCACGCAACTAGTTGCGTGAGGTATAATGTTTTTGACCCGTCCGTCAGAGTGTCAGTCAGTCAGTCCTCAGTCCTGCTTTTTTGTCAGCGCAACTCCTCATAAACCGCTGCACAGAATTTCGTCAAACTTTGCAGGTATTTAGGACACAATGTGTTGATGTGCATATTACCAGGAAATTCCGATTCCATTATTTTTTCCGGGAATTTCCGCACTTTTTAACTTAGGCATTTGGCCATACCTTGAATATAGAGATGAACAGTTTGTCAGCGCAACTCCTCATAAACCGCTGCACAGAATTTCATCAAACTTTGCAGGTATTTAGGACACAATGTGTAGATGTGCATATTACCAGGAAATTCCGATTCCCTTATTTTTTCTGGGAATTTCTGCACTTTTTAACTTAGGCATTTGGCCATACCTTGAATATAGAGATGAACAGTTTGTCAGCGCAACTCCTCATTAACCGCTGTACAGAATTTCGTCAAACATTGCAGGTATTTAGGACACAATGTGTAGATGTGCATATTAACAGGAAATTCTGATTCCTTTATTTTTCTGGGAATTTCAGCACTTTACAACTTAGATATTTGGGGATATCTTGAATATAGAGATGAACAGTTTGTCAGCGCAACTCCTCATAAACCACTGCACAGAATTTCATCAAACTTTGCAGATATTTAGGACACAATTTGTAGATGTGCATATTACCGGGAAATTCCGATTTTTTCTGGGATTTTCAGCACTTTGAGTTTTAGGGGAGCATGGGGTATGTGAGCTTGCTCACTTTTTCTTTCATTTTAGCATGTTTAGGTTTAGTGTGAGTTATTGGTTTGTAAATCACACCGTGTGACAAGGACTTGTCACGGCGGCATATTTCATGAAGCATACTAGCCCTTCTTGAAAATTTGTCTACGTGCAAGTCTGTGTGATTTACACACCAATAATTCACACTAAACCTAAAAATATTCCTTATATTTTACATTTTCCATGTTTAAAAGCATCAAAAATATACTCAATGATTGAATTTCTCGCTGCCCTCTGTCTCTGTAGTCTCATTGTGACGTCACACTAGCTCACATTTCTCTGTGTATAATTGTATGTGTGAGTATACACAAAAATGTTATTCAAATCAATTTCACAGTCGGCTTACCAGAAAAACACAGCAAATGTAAATATTCATGAGTAAAAGGAGGTTGTAAACCTTGTGAAAATTTCTAGCATGGCAAATAAAAATTTTGATTTAAATTCAGTGCATTGATATAATATAAATACTTGTCATATAGAGATGAGTCATTTGTATTTAATATTGTGTTCAAAATATTGAACTATCCATTGATTTTAGAATTTCTTTCATACTTTCAATAGATGGACTCTTCTATCCAACATGTTGAAACACAGGAGCGCTGCCGGTGTGGCGTTCCTAGATGGAGAAATATACGCTTGTGGGGGGCATGACGGTCTCTCTATATTTGATTCTGTAAGTACTGCTTCATCTTCAATTATAAGTGTGGGATGTTGCTAACATCCAATTTTGGTGCATGTATATACATACTTTACTTCTTATTCTCAAAAATAAAGTGTCAAATATCCTTGGTAGGCCGGTATATCTAATGTGCTAAAAATAATTTTTAAAAGGAATAGGCATGTAATAAAATACTTTAAGATACAGCAATTAATTGCTTTTTGCAGTTTAATCAAATCTATGATGATGCATAGTAACATTTGCATGTGTAAAAGTGTGAATAATTTTTGTCAAAGTGTTCATATTTTCAGTTTGATATATGTTCACAATGGAAATTTACAGAGAATTTAACTTTCATATTCACAGGTAGAGAAATATAACACAGCCACAAATACCTGGAGTTATGTCACACCAATGTTAACAAAACGCTGTCGATTAGGAGTTGTCTCCCTAAACGGGAAGTTATATGCAGCAGGTGGATACGATGGGTCAGTATTCTTAAACACAGTGGAGTGCTATGACCCGGTCAAAGACTGTTGGACCTACATCACCTCCATGAGGGTCAGGAGGAGCCGCGTGGCCCTAGTTGCCACCTATGGAAAACTGTACGCCATCGGAGGGTACGACGGACTGGCCAACCTGAATTCCGTGGAAATGTACGACCCAGAAAAGGACACCTGGAAGTTTGTACAGAGTATGTGTGCCCACGAGGGAGGGGTAGGGGTGGGGGTGGTACCGGTAGAGGTGGATCTAGATTCATGATGGGTGTGATATGTGCCATGTTGTTTATACAGTTCACTGTTCTGGGATTAGTTGATGCATTTGTTTATTGTGATCTCTATTGTAAATAAATGGTTAAAACTTGTGGTTCTTAAGTTTGAAACTGAAATTTTTGCTCATTGTGACCTGTTTATTAGTTGTAAATAAATGTTCAAAATAGTGTTACTAATTTATTTTAACATTAAGTGGTTTAAAGTGGAATTAGGTAGTTGATTTTTTTTTCTGCATTTTTGAGTGTGTTGCAGATAAAACAAGAAAAAAATATTCTCATAAGTAAGATTTCGTCTATGAAAGTATGTTTATTGTTCAAATTATGCATTTATTATTTGAAAGCATTTTTCTTGCTTATGTACATCATGTAAATTTAAACATTTTCATTGACTTGTAAAAACTGGTTGAGATCTACAACTGTATGTGATTACTTTCAAACAATCTTTAGTTGATTTCATTATAACATGTAATTTTCTGTCATTTATGGATTACATGTATCTTGTTTACTTCTACAAAATGTTCACACTGTTGTCATTTTATTGTAAAGGATGTTACAGAAATGGCAAAATAGTAAAAATAGTTACATTTTATTTTGTCTAAAAAATATGTCAACGCTTTGTGAATTTCCTAATTTTGCCAGTGCTTGGTTCAACGTTGTTTGTCATATGTTGTCCTTTGAAAGGGAATCAGAAAGTTAACTCAACAAACGAAGTTGAATTAATGTGTTATATGGACGATTAATATGGATCATTGTCAAATTTTGTTGTTGAAAAGAGGAGAATCACATACATATTTAAAATAAGTGATATTCATTTAAGAGATTGTTTTTAATATATGAATTATGTATCTTAAAAATACATGTATCTTTATCTTTACACTGTACAAGCGTTTGAACAAAACTTTCCAAATAGTCAATTCTCTTTATCTGGAACTCATTAGGACCAATATCCAGATATCGAGATATCCCAATTAAAATACTTAAGGAAAAAGGGAATGAGACTTTCAAATCATTTTGACATTTCAAGGTTATTCAAGATACCAAATATTAACTGTACATTTATCTGATTGCACAGAAAACAGTGCCCAGAAAATAACTGCAGCATAGATTTTTGCTACTATCTACATCTTCAGCTGTACTTCTTATAATCATTGTAATACATGTATTATATCAGGCATTCTGTCCAAGGCAGTGCAATATGTTTGTTGAATTCTCTCCAGTTTATTCAATAAAGTTGGTAAATATGTTATTTGTTTTTACTTGTATGTTATAGAAATATTTGATTGATAATGCCATTATTTGTATTGGTTTATTGATAAGCATTAAAAATATCTTGTAATTCTTTCCCTTAATAAATACCAAATACAGTAGTAGAAATTTTTAGCTGGGTGCTAACTTCGGCTTATTCACCAATCAAATTGTGTTTCCATTGAAAGTAAAATGGGTATTTTTTGTAATATTCTTTCAAATGCTGCTCCTTGAACATATCCCATGGCATTCAATTTAAATCTTGGTACACAAATAGATAAAATTAAATAAATTATTAAAAAAGAATTATTTTTTCAGTTTTTGATTTTAATAAAGAGTGATGGCATTTTATCTAAAATTTGAAATTAAAGCTTGCTTGATAGATAGACTGCACGAAATTTTAAAAAAAAAAAACCCAAATCTCTCTGACATGCGCTGGAAGAGGTTTTTTCATTTGAAGCGATATCGATACTAATTAAAAATAAAGCAGATATTGTAATTTCATCCAAAGAACTGATTGTTCATGTCGAATAATAGCTGCAGAACTGTAGCTTTCCGAAAAATATATATTGATAGACCGGAGAGTTACAGTGCCACCCAATGGAAAAACTATAATTAAATTGCGCACAAAAAGTGCGTGTTTCTGGATTTATTTCTCAATGTTTTTAAAACTCATCTAAAAAAATTACTAACCATGTGTTCCTAACATATTCATTCACTGTTTCAACAACAAAACATTCCTTATAATTGTTCTTAATAGCCCTCCTGGCCCTGAAATTGAGATCATCGAAGATTTCGCCTACTTATACTGCCATTTTGGTTTGCAAGAAAATCGGTTCAACGCGCTTCGTACAAATGTAAACTTTGAAAGTAATTGATGGTGGAGTTAGGACTTTATTGAAATCTATATTTTTTGCAATTGAGATAAGAATTTGGAAGAATTAATCCAGAACCGAGCGCACTTTTTTGTGCGCAATAAATATACAGCTTTTTGAATGGGTGGCACTGTAGCTCTCCGGTCTATCAATACCTTATATATTTTTTCGAAGAGCTACAGTAACAGTTCTGCAGCTAATTGAATAAGAACTTTGAGTTTACTTATCTGAAGAAATTATGCTTTAATTTACCATTTAAGAGACAGGCTCTATTTACAAGGCGCTTGTAAATTATACCATTGACGGAGAAGCACTCGAATACCAGAGCTGATTCACCTAGGAATTTTTTTCTGTTGAAGAATCATGATTTGCAAGTTTTACTATTTTATAGAAAATATTGAACTCTACTATTTCCAAATTAATAAATAATTTTAAATAATAATTCATTGATACTATTGGATTTATAGCCAAATATAGGCTTCAAAGTGTTTAAAGCAATTTTTACTCAACAATAATATTATTTTAAAAGCTAACTTAAGCTTTATTAAATACTTTCAAATGGATTGAATTTGTATTGTAATTCTTTGCTACTTTTCATTTTAAAAAGAAAAAAAAACTGATGAATTTCTTTGATTACACACTAGATATGATAATCAAATGAAATTCATGTGGAATACTTCATATAATGAAGCAAAGTCTAAGAAAAGTCCCAGTGTACGAAGCGAGTGATAGCGGTTTCTATTTTGCCGGTTGTCAGCAAGCTTATTGAACGGCATGTCAACGATTCCTTTTATGAATATTTATCCAGTATAGCTAGTTAATAACGATCTAAAAACCCGCTACTGCAAAATGGTTCAAAAACTTGGAAGAGAAATTATATATATAAGGACTTTGATACAGAAATAGCTAATGTCTTTTCGAAGTTGTTAAAATCCTTTAACATGAAATATGGAGGGTACTTACAATAATATTTAACTCAAACAAAAAATACAAATTAGAAGCATATAGAGCAAAGATGAACCTCTAAATCATCAGAGACGGGATCGGGTGTTATGTAGGAGTAAACATCCCTTGACATGTAGTTGATTTCGATGTTATCTATTAGATCGTACACAAACTGTCAGTTGGAAACGTGTATCATCAAGTAAGAAAAAACTCTCAAAAAAATCATTTTCAAGCTTTATTTTCATGCATTTCAAATTAAATATTAATTTTTGGAGTTATCCTCCCTGGCTGAGGATCGGATATCCTTAATATATAATGATTGAATAAGAAGTGTAGGGGCATTATTTATTAGTAAATTTATATTAAAAAATGATCTGTTTTAAACTTTCATTTTCAGTGAACAATGAAGAAAATCAGCCGTAAGTGTGGGGCATTTTTCAATGTCACTCAAATGAATTGTATCGGTCTACATGTACATTTGCTTACGGTTTCTTAGTAAACAAACTTTTTCAAAGAAGTAAAACAATTTTACGCCACTTTGATTTATCATGATCAATACATAAAGTTTAACCTATAGCAGGAAACTCGTTAAAGTTAAAGTTGTACTTGAAAGCTGTTCGTGTTTCAAAAATTAATGTTAACAACTTATTTACTTTTTGAGTTTTCATGATGTTTATTTTAAGTTTCAATTACTCAGTATACTTTCCTGCTTTTAATGGTTTGGTGTATATTTTTTTCTCATTCGTTCCATAATAATAGACATCAAATATATTGTATGGTAATAAATAAGAATATTATATCAAAATATTCAGGGTAAAATTACATAAAATTAAGTACACGTAACACACACATCGATTTAAAAAAATCCTGTATCATGTGGGTGACAAAATTATGAAGGTTAAAATATGAAAAAATTATTGAATGCATGTCTGAAAAGATTTGACAATCGTTCATTTTAACCATTTTTACATTTCCCTCTCAAAATTATCTCATATTTTCTTGGAAATTATCAAGATAATACTGGACTTCGAAGATGGTCAGAGTTAGTTTATTTATTTCCCCTTGTCAGATCATTTTGACCTGTAGGTTAGTAAGTCGGGAAATAAATTGCTTATCTGAGTTCATAACTAGAGAGAGAGAGAGACCATAATAAGGTCCAAATGTTGAAGTGAAAAAGACAGGAAAATCATTTAAGATCTGAATTTCAACAACAGAATTGCAGCGATTAGTCAAATATAGCAAAAATCCTATTTCAGAGATGGGTCAATTCATATCTCTCAGGGAGTGGTTGTGATACAATCAAGAACAGAATTTTGTACAGAAATAAGAAGAATTTAAGATTTGTTTTAAAGTTTACATGACAGTAGACCCTCATACACGTATACTTTAAAGGATAATATCTTGAAATCGTAGACTAGACTGATGGCAAAGAGAAGAATTCAATGAAAGTGTTTTGTTCGCCTAAATACTCTTTTGTCAATTTAAAGAAAACATGATTCTACCCATATACAGCCCAAATTCATCTTATTAGAAGCTCCTTATAAAGTCATGATAGAAAAAAATTCTTATAGAATGATTACAAACAAGCAAAAGAATTGTAGTCCCTCACTTTCGATGTCTTTGTGGATGGGAGATGCCGTTAGCAACACTGATAAAATATTTGAAAATTAAGTCAAACTTGAAGATCAAGGTCACGAGGACAAAATCATAGCACATTCGGAAACACTTTGCCACAGATAATGTACTTTTCAATTATGAACGCCATTTCATGTCATTAAAAAAAAGTTAATTTTTTGCATAGATTGGGTCAAACGTAAAGGACACGGTGTCAAAATCATAACATCTTCGGAAACATCTTGTCACAGGTACCTAATGCACATATCAAATATGAAAGCCATATCTCTTCTCTGACAATCAAAAAAGTTTTAAGCAAAGATAAACTTTTTGAAAAATAGGTCAAATATAAAGATCAAGGTCACGAGGTGAAAAATTAACAGTACATGTAGAATTAAAAAGGTATTGTCACAGGTAATATCCATGCATAATATGAGAACCCTTTCCCTTTTTCATTCAAATTAAAAGGCCAATCTAAAATTTTTAATTAATGTAAAAAAAATTAAAAGCACATGAAGGTCAAACTTTAATGTCAAGGTCACGATGTCTAAAATTATTGCATATTTAGTCAGGTATTGTCACAGGTAATGTACGTGTACATGTGAAATATGAAAGTCCTATCTTTTATCATTCAAAAGTTATGACTAATGTTAAAGTTTTGTGACAGACAGACGGACAGAGAAACTGAAAAACGAATGAGCTTTAATGTCTCCTCGCTTTCGTGAAATCTAAGATCTAAAGCAAGATACAAGTGAAGAGAAAAATGCTTATAAATTCATAACCTGGAAGTATTCTTTTTTCAGAGACTTGTTTCATTAAAAATATATAAACTAACGTTAAAAAAGAATTCTTTTTTTTAATTCCCTCCTCAGTAATCAAAGCAATAAGAACAGGAAGCATGCATCAATTATAAAAGTCATTTACAGAGAGCATAATTCATGTAACTGTTTCATAACGAAAAATAGGTCCTTGAACCCTTAATTGAAAATCATATCTAAATAAGTCGTTGGAAGTTGTGAAAGCATGGTTTTATTTTCACGAACTCCATTAATAGACTAGAGGTATTGTGAGCAATGAGCTCACTAAATGATACCCCCGCCTCCCATATGAATATAATGGCAGTGTCCATGTTTTGCCATGGGAAACCAAAATTATGTGTCGGATCAAAAAGTAAAATAGGTGTACAATGACACTATCTAATAAAGAATTTCATTCAGTGGTATTAGTTTTAGAGGAGTTGCTGATAAGAGATGGGCACCCCAAAGCGTCACAGACGGACGGACGTACAGACGGACCTACGGACGGATATCACGATTACCATATACCCTCCCAATTTTCAAGCAGGGGGTATAAATATATGGGTGAAAAGCATTGCAGATCCAAAGCATAACTGAAAACAGTGTAGAATGAAAAATCATAATCATCTCACCCCAAACAATCTGGGAAGTACTATTGTTTTTGTTCCATCTGTAATTTTATCTGCAGGAATTTTTCGCAGGAGGGTTAGACAAATTTTATATATGTTTATAAAACAAAAAGTCTAGTTGTGCATGCATGAATTAAA